ACAGAATTTCCTGCTCTGGCTGGCGTTGAACTGTGATTCTCAGATCTCAGCCTCCTGAGTAGCTAGGATTACAGGCACAAACTGCCAGCACCTGGCTCACTTTTTAGCTTTTATTCTTCACTGTATTCCTATGATAGGATGGAATGCTGTATGAAAATGTAGGGAAAAGGGCTGGGAAGGTGGCTCAGTGGTAGAGTGCTTGCCTTGCATATATGAGGCCCTGGGTTCGATTCCTCAGCACCACATAAGCAGAAAAAGCTGGAAGTGGTGCTGTGGTTTACATGGTAGAGCACTAGCCTTGAGCTGAAGAGCTGAAGGAAAGTGCCCAGGCCAGAGTTCATGCCCCACAACCACCACCACCACCAACAACCACAAAATAGAAAAGAAAAAAAAAAGAAAAAGAAAATGTAGGGACTGAAATGATTAAGAAAAGCAGTAAGAGCCATACATATCTGCTTATGACTTCTTTTTATAATTCATTTACTTTATTGTTATTATAAAGGTGAAGCACACAGGATTACAATTATATGAGTCAGGTAATGAGTATATTTCCTTTTGTACAGTGTCATCCGTTTCTTCACTCTCTCCCAGTCCCTCCCTCCCATCTGCGTCCCCAAGTTGTATAGTTCACTTCCATCTGTGTCCATTAAGCCCCACTGCTGCACTTTTTCACCTGTTTTTCCTCGAGTTCTGTACCCTTCTCCCCATCCTCTTGAAGATGTAAACGTGAATACACCATACATTAAGAAGATAGAAGCATCATAGTATAATAACTTTTAGGGCTGGGAAAGTGGCTCAGTGGTAAGAGTGCTTGCCTCACATGCATGAGACCCTGGGTTTGATTACTCAGCATCACATAAGCAGAAAAAACCAGAAGGGGTACTATGGCTCAAGTGGTAGAGTGCTAGCCTTGAGCTGAAGAGCTGAGGGACAGCACCATGACCTAGATACACACACACACACACACACACACACACACACACACACACACACACACACACACACACACACACTCCCTAAATGAAGGAGTTCTATATTCTAACTGCATGGGGAATGTGGGTTTGCAGACAGCAGACAGCACATAGCTGGCTTCCTGTGGTACCTCGCTCCACAGTGGGCTCAATAATACTTGGTGTGCAAGAATTTCAAGCACTGATCCTTGCAGCAGAGAGCAGCACTCCATTGGCAGAAAAAGGAGTGACTATATTGTCCTATTTTCTAGGGCAGCATACCCAGACTGGATGGCTTTAACGATAAAATGTGCATTCTCAACATGCTAGAGACTAGCAGTTCAGGATCAAGGTTTTCATAGGTTTGCTTCTGGGATCTTTGTCCTTGTTTGCAGATGACTGTCTTCTTCGGGTATCCTGATAAAGTCCTCCCTCCATGTGTATGCATGCCAGTTAGCCAAACTTCCCCTTCCTGGAAGGGTACCAGTTCTGTTGGATTGGGGCCCATTCGTAAGACCTCAGTTTACCATCACGACCTTATTTGAAGGTCTGATTTTTAAATATAGTCCCATTCTAAGGTAGGAGAGTTAGGACTTCAACATGGGAGCTTTTAGAAGCCACAATTCCACTAACAACATGTGTAGAAGCATACTCATTTTCCTTTTAGAAAACAATTAAATTTGCAAGATAACACATCTAGAAAAGATATTAGGAGTTATCCGTTTCTCTGTAACAACTATCCAGCATTATGATGAGTGGGAAAATCTGAGCAGAAAGGAAAGAAAGCTTTACAGTGGATCTTGTCTAAGGGTGGGGGTGGGTGGGAGAAAAAGCCCACATAGTGACAGTGAATTAATGAGCTGGCCCTATTCAGACACATGACAGATGGGCACAGGATCCAAGTACAAAGATAACAGAGTACAGAATATCTGGTTAATTTGGCCAGGGCTGATGAAGGGATTGAGGCATGACTGGAGTGGAACGGAGCCAGATGGACTTCCTTGGGCTGCTAAGAGGTCAGTAGCTAGAGAGATGGTCCCCCAAAACCTAGCTCAAGCTACCTCTCTTCCTGGGGCCCCAAACCAAGAGGACTTACTCACGCCTAGAGGGACACATCCAAATGTCAGTCCCTTCATGTCAGGCCTGTCCTTCTCCTATAATAGCTTGCACTAGTGAACCTTAGCAGCTGGACTTCTGGAATGATACGAGAGCTGCCCTTTCCCCTTCACACCACCTACTGTTCAATGTGGAGGACTCGGCATGCTCCTGTTTCTGAAACTTTGAAATTCTGCACTACCCGATTCTTCACTTGCTCCCTAATGATAGGATTTCAAAGTCTATCCTTCGTCTGACTATCCTAATTTGGTCAAAATAAGTTTAGAAAATGCACTAAGGAAACCACTCTCATATGCAGAATGCAACTTGGGATAAATAGGAAAAATAACCCCTTACCATCATTCAGTAGATGTTTCACTGATGGTCCCTCCCTATTTTTGCCGAGTAATGGCAATCAAGATAGTTGCTATTACTAAGCACTTGTGTGAATTTTAAGTATATAACAAATTACCCCCAACGTTAGCAACTTAACACATGACACTTTTACCTCAGATGGTTCCCAAGGATCAGGAATCCAGGAGCAAGTTGGTGGTTCCATCTTAGTCTCTCATGAAGTTGCAGTGAACTTGTTGGCTTCCACTGTGGGCCTGGAAGGACTGCTCCTAGACTCCGTGAGATGGCTGTCTGTGGGGGCTTAGCTCCTCACTAAGGGCACTGTCCATCTACCATTTGACTTCCCTTTCCTTCTTTACTACCTAATCTGGGGAATAATTAGTACTAATGGTGCTGTTGATCCTGTTGTTCACCAGTGGACACTGGTATAGGTGGGGGAATCACCACTCAAATGCTCTCAGTCGCAGATCAAACAAGTACTTGCGCCATGCTCTTCCTTTATTAGTACTAGCTAAGGGTTTTCCAGGCACCACACTGAGTGACATCAGCATCTTCCCAAGGAGGTGCAACAACCATTTGCTTGTTTTATTCATAGGGCAAAGTCTTCAGAAAAGCTAAGTAATTTGCCAGAATTGTTGCTCAGTTAAAGGACAGAGCAGATACGTAATGCAGGTGTAATGTCAGAGCCTAGTGCAAGTGTTCCTGCTTTCTAATGTAAGATCTCTCTTCATTGGATGGCTAACCCATCTCAGCCTCCTGAGGAGCTAGGATTAAAGCTGTGAGCCATGGTGCCCAGCTGAGGTGTGTGTGTGTGTGTGTGAGAGAGAGAGAGAGCGAGAGAGAGAGCGTGAGGGAGAGAGAGCGCACATATTTGTGTGTTGGTTTTGGATCTTAAACTCAGGGCCTGGACACAGTTCCTGAGCTTTTGTGCTCAAGGCTAGCACTCTACCACCTGAGTCATAGAACCACTTCCAACTTTTTTGGTGACTAATCAGAGTTAAGAGTCTTATGGACTTTTCTGCCTGGCTGGCTTCCAGCCTCAATCTCAGCTTCCTGAGTAGCTAGGATTACAGGCGTGAGCCACCGGTGCCTGGCCAGCTTAGTCTGATATTGCTTTTATTTTTTGACTACAAGAATTCTCACTTGGGGGTAGGTGGGTAGGGAAGGGATAGCAGGGGAAAAACAGAGGGGGAGGTAACAATGCTTGATAGGAAATGTACTCATTACCTTACTCATGTAACTATAACCCTTCTGAACAGTATCTTTTCAATAAAAAAATTAAGAAAAAAGAATTCTCAACCCACAGATGTTAACAAGTTTTCTGTTTGCAGCAAATTTTTAGTTAATTTGGTTGTGATGGTGTTAAAGTACATATTTTAGTATAATGAAAGAGAGAATGCAAATTAGCCTTCGAGTGAGTACTAACCATTGTCAGGTTCTTTTTCACATCCTTCCTAGTGGCGTGACTATAATCTGGTTTATAGTAAACCTAGATAAATCAGGCTCTTCTTGATGGGCCCAGGGACTCCTTTCTCTCCTAATTGCCTCTAATGTGTGTGTGTGTGTGTGTATGTGTGTGTGCGTGCATGTGAGTGTGTGTGCGCATGCTGTGGTAGGGGCGGTCTCACTGTACAGAAAACAACTGTGCTTATTGTTTGTGAAGGATGGGTTCCTATAGCAAACAAAATCTAGCAGGGAAGCATAAGAACGCAGTCTTGGAATCGTCATGTCGAAAAACGAACTTTACAACTTTGGTGAGGGTGGGAGGGTGGGGGACACGGGAGGGGGGGAGATGGGAAGGAATGGGAAGGGGAAACTTAGGAGGAGGCAACAATGCTTGATAAATGTACTCATGATCTTGCCCATGTAATTGTAACCCCTCTGTACGGTATTTTCACAATAAAAAAAAAAAAGAATGCAGTCTTGGGATGAGAAGGCGGAGGGGGCCACTCAACAGTAACAGAGCTTGGTCCTCAATTTTCATGACTAACAAATCAGTTGTAACTATTGTGAAGAGATGTGCTGTGCCTCTCTTCTGCATCAGGCCCTAGACCTAAGGGACAGGGAGCTCGCTCGCTCTGTGGTCAGGCACTCTCCTCTGTGACCCCAATCACACTGCTGTGTTTTGTTTCTTTACCTTAAGTGAATGAATAGCATCTTCCTGGGGATGGGAGTGCTCATAAGAAGCAGCTCAGGGGAATGGCGGATGCAGCCTGGGTCTGCAGTGCTCATCTGCATTCTGCCTTCTCTCCAAAGAGAGCACAGCACTGCTCTCTTCCTATCCATGTGACCAACAACAGGAATGGGTGTGTGTCCTCAAGCTTCTACAGCCTACAGGAACAACCATGAGGCCATGTGACCCACCAGTGACTGGAAGACACAGCAACACATTTGAACTTTGTGTTCTATTAAAAGGCTTCATGGAAGGCCCATCCTCTGCCATTTCTGCCATCAGGCTATCCCTTCTGGGAACCTTGCTCTGATTAACAGGCTACTCCTGTGCTCCTTGCTGACAAAATCCATCCACAAGTCTTCAGACAAATCTGTGCCTCATAAGGAATAGATTTCATGACAGCTGTTGGCTGCAGTCAATATCTTTCACAATGAGAAGAGCAAACATTTATTCAAACAACAAACACAGAGAACTGGGGAGGGCCAGACACTGACTAGTCAGAACATACAGCACACAGGATCAGTATACAGCAGGTTGCAGACATCAGCCTGCTCGTTGTTCCCACAAGTCACCGGATGGGGACAATTTGCAGTGTTTCATTAAAAGCCTATCAGGAAGATAACCACAGATCATGAGATAAAAGAGCCAGGCCAGAATGCCAGAACTGATGTTGGCAGAGCATAGGGAAACAAGGTGTGAGCTGTGGAGGAGCTTGCTAGGTACCTGTGGTGGGTGACACAAGTCTCAGCAGACCACTTCATTTAGAAGGATTTACAATGCCTGCAATATTTATATCTAACTCCAAGTCTCATGTGTTTGCTTGCTAAATGGTAACGAGCCAAAATGAGTAAATGTTGAAATCTTGACCCTGAACCCAAGACCTAGGGAAAACCCCCAATTCATTCAACAGCCTGGAGGAACCTGGAAAAGGCAGGAGCAGATGGAGAAACTGCTTGGAGCTCAGCCTAAGAGGGCAGGAATAAGGCTCTGAACAGCCTGCTGCAAACACGTGTCTGTGGTGCTAAGATGCACGGGCACCAGCTACTTCTTCATCTCCAAAACCACGCCACCTGGCCCATGGTTCTTAGCGCTGCAGATGCTGCAGTGCTGGGTTGGAGAGTTCTGAAATGGAATTTAAAACACAGCTTAGAAACGTGTCTTCTCTCCCCTTCTGCAATCGTAATGTTACTGTAGTGCTGGCTAGGAGGGGGACGGCTCTCAAGTGGTGAAATGTCTCTCCTCCGGAGGTTATGTTTGGTTCATGCTGCAACTCAAGGACCCCTCCCCCCCCCCCCAGCAAGACCAGTGTGTCATGACTCGGGACTGTGACCTCATGGTGAAGGACAGCAACAGGAACTAAAATGATTCTTTGCACAGTACTGAGGCTCAGCCTGAGCCTCCAATGTCCCCCGGTTAATCCACTTAATTGGGTATGCTTTTATGCTTCCTACAGTGCACTTTACATGCTAGCACCTATAGGTCGATGAATTAACTTCTGTCCTGGAATGTGACAGCACTGCCACCCCTGGGTATCTGAAGGAAACTGGTTCCAGGACTCCTCAGAGACACCCCAACCACAGATGTTGAGCCCCATATAGAAAATGGTGTAACATCCACTAGTCCTCCACACACTTTAAATCACATTTCGGGACTAATGAGGAAAATCATGGACTGCACATAGCACAGACACAATGTTTCACTCATTGTTCTTTCTGTTCTGGGGTTTCTGAACCAGGACCTCATGCTTCTTAGGCAGGCAGCAGGCAATCTACCAAGTGAACCAAGTCTCTAGCCCTTTGTATTTCTCCATATGGGTTATTATGAGGCCGGTTGTCTGGCTGCCATGGACCACAATTCCATCTCTGCTTTCTGTGTAGGTAGGATCACAGATGTACACCACTAGGCCTACCTTTTTTTGTGTGTGTGTGATGGGGTCTTACTAACTCTATAATTCTTTGTATCTCTACCTCCTGTCTTCCAAAATGTTTGCTGGATGTCAGCTGAATGCTGACAGCTGGCAGAGAAACCACAGCTTACAATTCTCCAAGGCCAAAGCCATGGGTGAATGGTGACGGCAGTGCACACCTCTCCCAGACCGCCCCCCGCATGTCTCTGATTGGCAGGCGCCAGCAGCCACTCACCATGGTGGGCACAGGCAGGCACTCCCTGTGGAACATGTGTCGGCAGTGGAAGACCACCACGCTGAAAGGCCGGGCCGCATCTGGGAGGGGGATGAGTGGGCAGAAGAAAGGACAGGTCAGTGCAAGCGGAGAATGGAAGGGCCATGCAAACCTGACTAAGTGAAGCCCTGGCTTACAGGGGCAGCCTTTGGGCTGAGGTGACCAGATGCAAAGCAGGCACTGTAATTGTGCTGCATGATCCAGAGGCAGAGGCTCGCTGCTTGGCCTCTGTGCCACTCACCAAAATAAGAAAAGGAGACAGTTTCATGGTAAGTGCAGCAGTAGTCATTAGAAAAGAAAAAAATAGAGAAAATACTCATACCCAGTATGTGTGTGATCCTTTGTGCAACCCAACTCAACCCAACCCACACATAACCACTATGCCCTACACTGCGGTTTATAAAAATGGGTCCCAGGCCAGCTGGGGCTGCCAAGCCAGGGTTGGAAGCCCAGGCTACGAGCCTGTGTTCTACCACATCCCTGTTTGGACAGCACCTCACCCTGCTTCCTGAGCCCAGCTCAGGTCTGAGAGGGCTTAGTGCCCTGGGCAGGGAAAGTAAGAAAGTAAGTGAACACGTGGTGCTGAGGGACACACAGGGCCCGTCTATTAGAACATGACCTAAAACACTATGAGAGCCCACACCTTCCCCTAAAGCAGTGAAAATTCAAACCTGCTTCCTTTAGAAAAGCTAAACGGAATTACTTTTCCTGTCATTAGTAAAGAATCTTGTAATGTCAAGTAAATGCAGGTCAGTGGAGTCTTCTTGTTTTATTTTTGGTGATACTAAGGTTTGAACTCAAGGACTTGCAATTGTTAGGCTTGCTTGCTATGCTGATAAGCCATCAATTAAACCACACAACTAGCATGTGGTTGGTTACTTTGGAGGTGGGAGTCTATGGACTTTCTGCTCAGGCTGGCTTGGAACTGTGATCTTCCTGATCTCAGCCTTGTGAGTAGTGAGAATTACAGGTGTGAACCAATGGCCTATAGCTCAACTGAATCGTTAGCACATCTGCATGCCAAGTTTGCATTTAGACAGCATTTTAATATATCAATTATTCTTCAATTTCTAATTATGTAAGTTCCTGTTCTCACATCCTAATGATCCTTAAGTAAGAGGCTTTTTCATTATGCATGACACAAATAAGCAAACAACAGCTTCTATCTTTTAAAGAGTTGTTGTCCAATTAGATATTGAGTTTGGTAGCCCCTTGACATTGGTGGGTATAAAGCTGTATAGAGGCCACCACTGAGGAAAACCGCAGACACTCAGGACACAGACGCAGTACTCTACCACGGACGTGTAGGCTGTTCTCTTCCCTCATGCTGTCCAGCTCAGCTATGGACATGCTTTCCACCTTTCAACAAATCCCAACAGCTTATCACTTCAATTAGCAAATCATGTTATTTCTGGCTTGGAGGAGCTGTCATCACTTTCCCCTTGGTTTTGGCCACTGTCTGCTTTGTGGGAGTCATATTTTCACAAAATCAAAGCCGGAGGGCACCCAGTAGATCAGACATGACGAGACACCCCTGAGAGCAGCACAGGAGTGAAGTGCCTCCATTCTTTACTTTTTTTTTATGATTATGAAGGAAATCATATCCATAAGAACTTGGGTGAATAAAGTACAACTCAGTTGTATTTTATTGTTTGAGTTGTACTTTATTGTTGTATACAGTATGTATGGGAATGTCACATTTTGATCTGAAAAAAAAATGTGCTTATAGATATATTTTTTGACCACTGGTGGTCAAAACCATGAGTAATGAATCCATCAACAGGTGGCTTACACTCTGTCTCCTGAGCTATGCAACCATCTGTGCCCTGTCCCCACACAGCTACGAGACGATTAAGGAAGAGCACCTGTGAGATATCTCCCAGACACATGCACGGCTGGGATGTAAGTGTGGGCAGTGTTTGTTCTACTGTGGAACTATCTTTCTCAAAGAATGGCCTCTAAGCCAGCACACTGGCCAATGCCAGTGTGGTGAGGAGGGCGCATTGTCAGGTGCTGCTTGGGCTCAGAGCAGGCCCTGAGTGGAGTTGCCTTGTGGGCTCCCAGGCTCTGCACGCTGCACATGGTGGTTTAGCCCAGCACACTGGGGTGCACTGGCATATAAGAAGAGCCTTTTTTGAAGCTGTGTGAAGCAATAGAGTTCCATATATAGGAACTAGCTAATTTCAAAGTCTGAATGGCAGCCATCACTCACATCTGAGAAGTGAGCTTCCTTACCTGTGGGAAGGATGGGGGACAGGCACGATTCACAGATATTCTCCTCTGCAAGAAAACACACATACTTGGGATTAAGCAGGGTCAGTGTGGGTTTGGCATCTTCTGAAAGCGGGACACATGGTGCCATGTGAGTTGTTAAACCTTACCTACCATCAACCAGGACGCCTTTCATTTGAGTTCGGTGCATTTTCTTCAACAATGACAAAGAGTCAGCTACAAGAATCTTCTTGCAGCCTTCACGAAGCAGAATCTAATGCACACATTAAAAAAAAAAAAGCAATCTTAAATAGACTCAAATACAGTGGGGAGGGGAGTCTTGTAGATAAATTGGAGAATTTGTACACTTGAAATACTCCTAGGGCCTCTCTTGTCCCCTGCCTCAGTATACACTCTTCTGTTTCAACTGTCACCAGACAGACCTCCGCAGGCCTGACTCAGTCATTACTCACTGCAATTTACTTAGTTAGCTTTTATGATGATACAATGTTTCTGTGGTAATTGTAAAATGGGGTACAAATTCTGAAGTCTAGCCAGAGATCTTTGCCCAGGATAGGAAAACTGCCACTCCTAAAACCCCTAAATTATCCACTAATCTCATAAACCCGTCTATTTGCCAAACACATATGTTCCAGGTCCATATGGCACAACACACTGTGTGTGGATAGGAAACTGAATAGAAAAACATGTGACTGTGAGTGGCTGTGCATCTGGGCAGGCTATAGGACCAATTTGCTTGTGCAGGTGTGAATTCATACCCTGGGGAAGGGAAGGGAAAGAGCAGCCAATCTTGGTCATCTAGGGTAGTCATCTATAGCAACTTCATTTCCCTAAACCCCTGAGAGCATTGGCCTTGGGAGAATCCAGCCAGAACTGTACCACATCCTAATTATATCAAGGCAAACACTTAGGAAATGTAACTGATGTCTACAATACAGTTCTACACTGGCCTTCTCTAGTTCTGACGAGCAAGAGATTACATGATTTGAGAATGCTTGCATTTATTGAGAAATTGCTTTTGACATCTGTTCCTTCTTCTTTCCCTACCTTTTCAATGACACAGTCTCACTATGTAGCCCAAGCTGCCCTGAAACCATATATATGCATATATGTACACACACACACACACACACACACACACACACGAACAATCACCCTGACTAAAACATAGTATTTGCAAGTGCCAAGCATCATGGTGAAATGCCTTTGTTACAACAATTAGCAAGCAAGTGACAATAACAATATTAAGAAGTTGAAACATGTATGGACTGGGGTGGGGGAAGCAATGGGTGGGTGGCAAGAAGGATGGAGGGCAATACAGTCCTAAGAATCTATACACACATCTGAAAATGGAACGAGCAAGCTCAATGTGACTGACTGGAGGAGAGGAGGTAGAAGGGAGAGTAATGGAGAGGTAACATTGATCAAGATGCTTTGAATCCATAAATAGGTACATTAATTTTGAAGCATAAACAAAGACAAAACAAAATCAAATAATAACATGTTTGTGGAACCTTCTTGGAATTGTATGCCTTTTTTTTTTTTAGCTTTTTAAAAAAATTGTGAAAATACCATACAGAGGGGTTACAATTACATGGGCAAGGTAATGAGTACATTTCTTATCAAGCATTGTTGCCTCTTCCTTTGTTTCCCCTTCTCATCTCCCCCACCAGCCCCCTTCAACTCCCCCCCCACCCCCCCGCTCCCCATGGCCAAAGTTGTAAAGTTCGTTTTTTGACATAACGACTTGTATATCTCATTGTTACAATGGGTCCACCTTATAATGGTCTCTAAAAGAAGTTTTGAGAAAGAGAATAAACAACCACCAGTGTGAAAGAGCAGCCTTTCTCACAGGAAAAAACAAAAATCCCAAATCTTTTCTTTTATCCTCAAGAGGGAAGCAGCCCAGGGAATCTTCTGAGCAGCCTTCCCAATAGACCAACCTTTCACAGAGGCCTCCGACCCAGTGGGAACAACACATGTGTTATCTTCAGTCTCTGCTACCTTCCCTCTGGACCTCTCTTCTCTCTTGCAAAGCTACTCCTTGGCTGGAGGTTTATAGGCAGCAATGGATCTCTGGACCTGCTGGCTAAGTAACTCTGGGCCGCCTAGACTATCAGCCAACAGCTTACATAGTATAAGGGGAAGCTCTAGGTATATTTTAAAATATAGTTAAGAGGATAAAATACTTATTTAAGAGCAGTTGTAGTGGCTCTTTCTATGCGTATACATTCATTTTTAATGTGTTTTTTTATTGTAAAGATACTGTACAGGGGGGTTACAGTTACATGAGTAAGGTAGTGAGTACATTTCCTATTGAGCATTGTTGCCTCCTCCTTTGTTTTTCCCCTACCATCCCTTCCCCACATCCCCAACTACTCCTCTCCCATACCAAAGTTATAAAGTTTGCTTTCAACAGTATCTTGTACATCTCATCGTTACAATGGGTCAACCCGTATCCCTATTTAAGCATTTTGTTTTTTCCCTTACCCTACCCAAATTAGAAAAGTGTATATATACAAGATGTAGGGCGCCAGAATTAAATACAGTGAAAACAGGGGTTATACCGTGGAGGAGGAACATACCAAAGAAACAAAAAAAATAAATTACATAGTACATTATAAGTACGTTAAAAATAGCAACAAAGAAAAAACCACTTGTGTCCCTGTCTTGGGGCTCATTTCACTTAGCTTCATCTTATATGGTCATATGTACATAGCTTTTGACCTTTTCTGCTTGTCCCAGACATATACTAGTTATTGCAAATAAGGGAAACCATGGGACCTATGTTTTTTTGGGCCTGGCTTACTTCACTTAATATAATTTCTTCCAAGTCTTTCCATTTCCTAACAAATGGGGCAATGCCATTCTTTCTGATGGAGGGATAAAATTGCAGTGTGTGTACACACACACACACACACACACACACACACACACACACCACATTTTCTTGATCCATTCAACTACTGAGAGCATCTGGGTTGGTTCCATATTTTAGCTATGATAAATAATGCTGCAATAAACATAGTTGTGCTGGTAGACTTGTGCTGTATGGACTTGTTTGTGATCATTTGGGTAAATGCCCAAAAGTGGGATTGCTGGGTCATAAAGCTCTATGTGGAGTCTTTTGAGGAACCTCCATATTGCTTTCCAAAGTGATTGAACAAGTTTATACTCTCACAAACAATGCAATAGAGTTCCCTTTTGGCCACATCTCCTCCAGATTTCTTTTTTTTTTTTTTGGGTCCGGTCATGGGGCCTGAACTCTGGGCCTGGGCGCTGTCCCTCAGCTCTTCAGCTCAAGGATAGCGCTCTACCACTTAAGCCACAGCGCCACTTCTGGCTTTTTTCTTTTTGCTTATGTGGTGCTGAGGAATCGAACCCAGGGCCTCATGCATGCAAGGCAAGCACTCTACCACTGAGCCACCTTCCCAGCCCATCCTCCAGATTTCTTGATTCTAGCCATTCTAACTGGGGTGAGGTAGAATCTCAATGTTGTTTTGATTTGCATTTCTTTTATGGCTAGAGAGGTTGAGCATTTCTTTATGTGTCTATTGGCCATTCTTCTTTCCTCTTTAGAGAAGTTTCTCTTTAAGTCTTTAGCCCACTTATTTATTGGGCAGTTGTTTCTTTGAGGATTTGTTGTTGGGAGATTTAATTTTTTTTTTTTTTTTTGGTTGGTCATGGGGCTTGAACTTTGCGCTTGGGCGCTGTCCCTGCACTCTTCAGCTCAAGGCAAGTGTTCTACTGCTTGAGCCTCAGCGCCACTTCCTGAGATTTAATTTTTTGAGTTCCTAGTATATTTTAGATATGAGACCCTTGTCCGTTGTATGGCTAGTGAAGATCTTCTCCCAATCTGTGGACTTTCTATTGATCTTGCTAGCTATGTCCTTTGCCATGCAGAAGCTCTAAGTTTCATGCAATCCCGTTTGTCCAACCTTTCTTTCTTTGATTTGTTGTGTTTCTCGGTCTCTATTAAGAAAATTTTGGCCTGTGCCAAGGAGCCCTAGAGTTTCTCTTATTCCTTCCTATAATGTTTTCAGGGTGCCTGCTTTGACTTTGAGGTCTTTGATCCACTTGGAGCTGATTCTGTTGTAGGGTGATATATAAGGATCTAGCTTTACTTTTCCACAGGTGATTAACCAATTTTGCCAGCATCATTTACTGAAGAGGCTTTCTTCTATTTTATGTTTTTAGCTCCCTTATCAAAGATTAGATGGCTATAAGTCTGTGGGTTCATTTCTGAGTTTTCAGTTCTGTACCACTGGTTCTCAGGTCTGTTCTTGTGCCAATACCAAGCTGTTTTGATTACTATGGCTTTGTAGTAGAGTTTGAGATTTGGTGTTGATATTCATCTAGCACTGTTCTTTCTGTTAAGGATTGTTTTTGCTATTTGGGGTCTTTTATTGTTCCATATGAATTTTTGGATTGCTTCTATTTCATTGAAGAATGAGGTTGGAATAATGATAGGTATTGCATTAAATTTGTAGGTAGTCTTTGGAAGTATTGCCATTTCTATGATGTTGATCCTTCCAATCCAGGAGCATGGGAGGTTTTTCCACTTCCTAAGTTCTGCTTTAATTTCCTTCTTCAGGTTTTTAAAGTTGTCATTGTAGAGGTCCTTCACTTCTTTAGTTACCTCCTAGGTATTTTATTTTTTGTGGGGCTATTACAAAAGGAGTTGCTTTCTTGATTTCAGCCACATTCTTCTCATTGTTGGCATACAGAAAAGCCATTGATTTTTGAGGGTTAATTTTATACCCTGCTACTTTGTTAGGCATTCATTTTGCATCTACTATTTTTATTTATTAAGAGCCAACTCAGAGCCATTCAGATTTGCTCATGAAGAATGAACGATCAGCGAGCCCATGATGGTGTTCAAGGCTTGGCTCTGCGGGTGAGCATGCAGGCACTGTGGAGGTTGGGAGGAGAAAGACCAGCGCTGACTTGTTGGAGAGGACAAAATGACTTCTCAATGTGGCTCTCTGAGCACACCCTGCCTGCCCCAGGAGGTAAGGACCAAAGTGCTGTCTGCTGTTCAGGACACTCATGCCCTGAGCTTTATAACATCCACACTGAAGCCCGATTCAAGCCCAAGTGAGGGGCTTCCAGGCCAGGATGGAGGTCCTCAGAGCAGTGCATGGCACTGTGCCACTCAGGCCTCCCCTTTGCCCCCAAGCTCCTACTGCCTTCTGGCCTTTCTCTTTCTAGCTTAGTAAAGTTCCCCCTGGGTCATCTGCAGATCTCCAAGTCCCACTGGGGAAAAACACTTGCCCATGGTTTGGCTCTCTGCAGAACAGGTCCTCCATGTCTTTGGCTTAAGTGCCTCTCATTAAGCCCATTTCCCATAAAATCTCCTTAGCGAAGGCTCCAAGATCATTCACCCCCCACAGGAAGGGAAAACTTCTCACTTCAAGTTCTGTCTGTCACCCAGCACCACACAGTCCTCCGTGGACTAGCCACTGCTAACATTCTAGTTCACAGGAGATGCTGGAGCCCCCATCCTCATGGTCAATATGGCTGTGGCCTCCAGTTTCCTGAGCAATTCTACTCCTAAACTGTGCCCTATTCCTGAACATGTTTAAAGTGAGTTTCACACTCCTTGGCAACAACTTCTCTTCAGGTGTCACGTATCTTCCTTCTATGTCTGCCTTTCATCCAGCTGCACAGGCTGTGGCCTGAGGCAGGCGTCCTTCTACTCTGCAGTCTTCACACCGATTGTGGGCCCAACAACCATGCATCAGAATGTTCCGCTTACAATGCTATCTTCTCATTTTACCTGCAAAATTGAACTGTTCCCAGAAAGCAACTGCATCTATTGTAAGCTATTATAAGCCAAACTCATTTTCAAGTAAACTAGCCTGAATATTTAAGATAATGTGTGTAAAATAGTTCCAAGTACTACAGAAGGTACCAACATTCTGAAAAAAAAAGTAATTTCTCAAATCTTTTAAGAAAAAGATTAGGATGCCTGATAATTAAGCCTCTTATTTATATGACAATAATGAGTTTCATTTTTCTTATCACAAATTCTGAATTAATTCAGATAATAAGGGCTCTATTATTTTAGAAACCAAAAGTTGAACAGAAAGCTTCAAAATTGAACACGTTTCAGGTGTGACTGAATGACTTCAACCAAACATATTAAACTTTTGAAATACGGTTTTTTGTTCCCTCCAAGTGGACACAAGAGTGATTTTCCCTATAAACAGAGGAGCGGTCAGACCTAACAGCTAGTCAACTCCTCTCTTACCCTCCTCAACACCACACTTGCTACATTCAATTCTCAAATGTAAACATGCCTTCTTAACATGCACAGAAAATGCGGAGATAGGTGAAGAATAGTGTGTTTTGATAAGCAGTAAGGTTTCTATGTTCTCTCTTGCAATGCTTTTCCAAATGAAATATAGCTACCATACTGAAAATGTCTGACAGACATCTAATATCAATCTGAGAAGTGTATATCCAGAGTGAGTCCATTCATTCAGCATACTCATTTAACTAAGAAAGGATGCTTACTTGCAAATTGTAGTCTTGCAGAATTTTAACCAAAGAATCTCTCAGACTGGGGATCTCCATCCCTTCCTTAATGCGGTGAATCAGGAGAATGGGGTCAACATGTGTGCCGATGTTGTTTAACAAGCCAGTGATAAATGCTGTCAAATATCACAGAAAATAGTTAACATGAAGGTGACTTTAGAATGCATTTGGAACTAAAAACCCTATTTCTTTCAACTAAGTGTTAAAAAAACCACTGGATTTCTGAACCCTGAAGAACCAATTTTTCTTTGTTTCATCTTGGTTCTGAAGAACAGTCTAGGGCTGGAGGTAATGCTCAAGTGGAAGAGTGCTTGTCTAGCAAAGTCCAGACCCTTGATTCAATCTCCAGTGTAAGAGAGAGGAGGCAATTTAAAATAGTTGAAGAAAGCCTTAGATTTATTCATATCTTCAAAATATCATTTATATTGCCAAAGGGGTACAACTAATATAACGGAGAGTTTCCTGTGGTTGAGCTATCACATACTTCTCTTCAATACTGTGCAAGGCTGGAATGTGCAATGTTTACATTTTAAAAACAAGGGAAACAGTGTTTAATTTAGTCAGAGCTATAAAGTCAGAAGCAGGCTATCCAGACTCACACCCAGGCCAGAGCAGGTTCAAAATGTATTTTAATATTCTCAGTGGCTATTACTCCATCATGGTAAGTTACATTCTTTGTTACCAAAGAAGGAAAAGTCAGTGTCAATGTCAGATCAAGGCGTTTACATTTGCACCAAGCCTTCCTAACTTAGAAAAGACAGCAAGAAGATTTTAAACCACTCTTGCTAGTCTCTGAATTATTCCTGGGTCTTCCAAAGAGAACTTGGGTGGCTTTAAGGTTATTGCTTTTGTTTATTTTCCCAAATAAATAAAATGGGATACCAAATGGTCAACCTTATACAAATGGTCAACCAAATGCAAATGGTCAACCAAATGTAAATGGTCAACCTTAAGACCAACAAATACAGTCAGTCAACCTTAAGACCAACAAATACTTTTGGGACTGTGTTAGTAAAACTGCCAGAAAAAAAAAAAAACCAACCTAAATACTATAATGAAAATATCCAGTCATGGTCAGAATCCAGGAACAGTTATATATTTCCATGAAAGGAGACCAGCAAGGACTTTATATATTCCCAATAAAGGCCTCAGTCTACAAATGAAAACACCCACTCCACCCCAACCTTATCTAGTATGCACTTATCCAGTGTGGCTACAGCACGTAATGTCTGCCTCCTGGGGACACAGCCAATACGCTGTGTAGCACCCGTTCTTTATCTCCCTCAGGCAACATAAAGGGGTGAAGCTCCAATCCTCTCACTATGAAGGAACTGGCCTGTTACTACATACATGTCGCCACATTTTCAATCCAGCGCAACCTGAGATAACTCTTACTCTAGATACAACTGGCTGTGTTGAAAGAAAAGCAGATTCACAGATGACTTCTACTTACGTGGTTTGTCGATGGAATATAAAATCAGATCTTCCCAGAGTTCCGCATCGTCTTGCTCCTTGGCAAATTCAATAGCTTTATCAACGTTGTGCAATTCCTCCATAATCATCTTCAGGGCACTTCGACTGTTACCCATCCGGCCTAGCAGGGGGAGGAAGTATGAGAAAGATACCATTATTTAAAAGAAAAGAGCCTATCTTTGTTTACAACTGTGACACTAGCATTCCCACCCCCCTTTCTACATCCTAATCCCAACACAACAAGAGAACAAACCCTATTTAGTAAGTGCAGTTGTGGCCATTTAGGTGCTTCATATCAAAGTACCATTCAATGGGTGCTCTCGCCCCATGAGGGACCATCTATCAATGCTCCTATTTAACAGAAGGCAAACAAAAATGGTAGTAACCAAGATTACATAGTGACTAAATGGTACAGTTTGAATCTGAGCCAAGGTCTATTGGATTTCTTTTAGATTTTAATCCCATCCTATTCAGATAATAGTTCAGTCTGAAAGGCCCTGAGAATCATTCTGCCTCTTGAAGGTGGCTTTGCACATCACTCTTCTGATGTAACTACAGACTGACTTATCAGAGGTTCCCTAATTCCCTCCTCTTCCAAGTTCAACAATATTGATGAGATGAAGTATTTACTAACTATGCTTCCTTTAGCTCATATACACTTTTCTCACTGATCTACTGGCATTTGGATGTTTTTTTTTAATAATTTAATAATAATGTAACAGTTCAGCTGTTAGTACAACTTATGCTGAAGGCTTTACGTAGGAGAGGGCTGGCTGTTGGTTTCTCTCGCCCCTGTCCCTTGTCTAAAACAAGGTCTAGTTAGGGATCGTGGACCTTCCCTCTGTGAGCCACCATTATCTTCTGTAATGTCAGAGACAACAGCTGCATTTTATTTTGCTGAGCAACACTGACTTGACCTGGACCCACAAGTTAATTAGAAAAGGATAAAGGTTAGGCATCCCAGACTTCTGTATTTTGTCCCTACAACCTTTGTCCTGAACCATTCTCTCCTGAAGTCACTTTGCAGGGATGTGGGACCACATGCCAGCTGTCAACCCCTACTGTAACAAAGCCCCATCTGCCTAATTCTGACACCACCGGACCTTAGCTATGGCTCCTCTGACTGGCCTGTGACTTGGGACTATTTTGATTATGCATACGTTCCTTACTTTCACCCCCCAATTCTCCCTAAGGAGTCTCGTATCTGTGATCCTGGAAGATAGCTGAAGATGTACTGAAGTACGGTCTTCCTGTGGCTGATTATAATTTTAAATGAAATTATTACTCCACCTATAATTTTAATCTATGTTGTGAGGTGTGAATTTTGTGTGTCTCTTTGTTCTTTTTGTTGTTATTGTTGTACTGGTACTGGAGTTTGATCTCAGAGCCTCACACTCTCACCTAGCTTTTTCATTTGAGCCACACCTCCACTTCTGGCTTTTTGCTGGCTAACTGGGGATAAGAGTCTCATGGACTCTTCTGCTTAAGCTATCTTCAAACTGAGATCCTCAGATCTCAGTCTTCAAAACAGCTAGGATTAGAAGTGTAAGCCACAGTGCCTGGCTGTCTCTTTTGTTTAGTCTACATTACCAGTATGTTCTTGCAACAGTATTTCTTCAGTAACTCTTCTTTCTCTATTGTGCCAGAAATGTTCTCTCTTCATATCTTAAATTTTTATGCAATCTAGGCTTGAATGTCTGATACTTTGCTTTGAAACCTATACCCATCCTTACACAGTTTATATCACACTGCCATTCCACTTGTTTATGGGGACCAAAAGAAATAAAAGTACTTACTCAGAAGATAAACCGTCTCTTCTACAAAGTTCCTCTGTTGACAGATCTCCAGAGCCTTCAATAAAAGCAGGTAAAAATATCAGCAGAGACCACCAAACAGGAACAAACAATGTTTCCATTGCTTTTTCTTTATCAACGTGACAAAGTGGACAATCAAAAGAGAATTTTGCATCTTGATAGCAACCACACTTGGCTGCCTCAGAGAGAGTCACGGTGCCTGCACGGTTTCACTGAGAGCAGAAGTGGGGCACTCAGCACCTGTGCAGAAGGCGGGAGCAAGCCCTTCCTGTGGAGCTCTCTTTATGCTAGGTTATGTGTCTTTTTTCTTATGTTTTTGACTGTACCTGGGGCCTCATGCTTGCTGGCTTGTTGTTCCACCACTTGGCCACTGCCTTAACCCTTCCTTTCTTCTTTAATTTTCAGTGATATTTTGGATAGGGTCTCCGTTTTTACCCAGGTCTGACCCTGGACTACAAGCCTCCTACTTATGTTTCAAAAGTGGCTGGAATTACAAGAGGAGCCATACTTACCTGGCTTGCTAACTTTGTCCAGGTTGACCTCAAGCCATGAACCTCCCCCTCTCTGCTTCCCACAAGGCTGGGATTAAGGATTAAGGCTATTTCTTTTCTGTACTACTTTTCACTACAGTCATTTGTTTAAAACATCTCCTGACACTAGAACACATCCTGTAGTGGCGCTCCAGTACAGGCATGCCGCTCACTGCTATATTTTCCTGGTACTGAGCAATACCAGATGTGCTTGTTGTAGGAGGGAGGGAAAGAGGGAGGGTGGAGAAAATGAAGAAGGGAGGGAAGGGGCACACACTGAGAATACTTCTATGTCTAGCTCACAAAGTTTAAGAGAGGAACACACACACGTGATGACAAAGGAGAATGCAAGAGGGGATCAAGTACAGAGAGGCGGGACTGCACAGATGCAGGAAGCCCCCTGGTATTGAAAGGACACACCACGTAAGGGTAAACAAGCCAGCAATCCTAACTGCATGGGAATGCATCACTCTGCTCTGTGCTGGGTGCTGGAGGGTGAGGTTGACAGAGGAGCAACAGTGATGACAAAAGTACACACACATGATGGCCTGAGAGAGCAGAGGAGGAGGGGATCTGGGAGGCTGGCAGACAGGTTGCCCCACTGACCTGCACCTGCTTCAGGTATCACTTCTTCTGGGAGCTTGGTGCAAGGGGATCACGCGAGGCCAAGGTACTTCCCTGTGAGGCATCTTACGCTCTGCCAGTCATGGAGTCACAAGTGATCATGTCTCTATTACTCTCCCCGTATCCCATGTTCCTGTGGATGAACTGTCTGCCTCTGCTCCCAGTATGTTAAAGGGTAACCCAAAGGTTCCCAAAACACCCCCTTTTCCTTGGGAAGGAAACAAGACTACTTGAGGACAGGCTTGTCTGGCACCCAGGAGCGTTTGCAGTCTGAAGCCTATCTGAGGTGTCTGACACAGTGGCCACCTGCTCTATGCAGATAGACAAACTCAACTGGATCGAAGTAAAATTACAATGGCTTCCATAGTGTAGAGCAGATTAGCACACATATCCCTCCCTGCAGACATTCTACAGAACAGAGGTGTTCTGAGTTATTGTTGTGACACACCAAAAGGGAAATGTGTCATCGAGTTTAAGGATAACTGGAGCCTCAGACATTAGAATTTCTAACCAGGCACTGGTAGCTCTTGATGGTAATCCTAGCTACTCAGGAGGCTGAAATCTGAGGACTGAGGCTCAAAGCAGGCCTGGGCAGAAAAGTCCCTGTGAGATTCTTATCTCCAATAAACTATTTGAAAAAGCTGGAAGTGGTACTGTAGCTCAAGTGGTGGAGTGCTAGCCTTATAGCACAAAGAGCCTTGGGACAGTGCGCAGGCCCTGTATTCAAGCCCCTGGACTGGTCAAAAAAACAAAACAAAACAAAACAAAAACAATTGGGGCTGGGAAGGTGGTTCAGTGGTAGAGTGCTTGCCTTGCATGCCTGAGGCCCTGGGTTCCATTCCTCAGCACCACATAAGCAGAAAAAGTTGGAAGTGGCACTGTGGCTCAAGTGGTAGAGCGCTTGCCTTGAGTGAAGAGCTGAGGGACAGCGCCCAGGCCTATAGTTCAGGCCCCATGACCGACAAAAACAAAAACAAAACAAAACCAAAAAAGAAATTAGAATTTCCTGGATTATTAAATGTTTTATGAATAGCTGCTTATCACACCTTAAAATATCATCTAATAAGGAATATAGACTCTAGAAATCTCTAGTAACATTTTGTGTAAAAAAAATTTCTAGAGCTCAATTTTTCTGCTATGGACCAATGGGACCTGTGCCATGCTGGAGTGTTTGCAGGAATCTTGTGCTCCCTCTAGTGGCAACAGAATGCAATCTCAGGTTCCTACACCACAGACATACAAATGCAAACCTATAAGCAAAGGAACAAAAATAAAAGCAAAAAAAAAAGCAGAACCATGACAAACTGAGTAAAAAGTTATGTGAAAGAAATGTTTTAATACTCTTTTCCCCTCATTAACATAAAGGTGCGAATGAGACTTGGAAGTCTGAGTAATAACCTTATCACGTATAAATTCAGTCATTACTTTAACCTAGCCTTGACTTTGTTAGCCAAACATCTTTTAAAATTCTTTAGTGAAAATCTGTGAATAGGAATTTTTAACTTCCATTTTCCACAAGCAAAGGAGGAAATGTATCTTTCTCTTTTTCCTATTTCTCCCTACTTTAATCTTGTTCCTCTAAAGTAAATCCTCCTTTAAGCTTTAAAAAAAAAGAAAATCTGTGAATACTGTTTTCCAGAGTATTACTCCAAATTCATAAAAGCTGTTACCATGTGAATGTGGCTAGACACAGAGAGCAGTCATACTTTCAGGAATAAATTTACCAAGGCTAGAAAGTTGGTGCTCTGCTGTTAATGATTCTCAGGCATAATCAAATCAGATTCACAAACGCAGGATTTGAGCCTGAGAACCACATCTATACTGCAGGAGAAAGGACAGTAATGCATTTCCCACAATGCTTGCAGTATTAAGTAATACGTTAATTCCTACTATCCTACTAAAATTTCAAGCTTGAAAAAAATAATTCTTCCCTTTAATGGAAAGACAAAGACCTCAATTTACAAGATCAAAGATCCTTGTTGTGGCCCCTTGACTTCTCAGCTTTAGGCTGAGGGCTGTTTCATTCAGCAAACCAAGATTCACCTTGGTCATGGAAAAACACTCTACCTTCTGTCTGCACTTTTGTAGAGATTAAATGAAACCATGTACATGAAAGAGCACATATAATATGTTATAAATTTCCACAAACTCTGCATCATTCTCAAATGAACAAGAACCAGGTAACTTAAGAAGCTGTGTGGGGTAGGAATTTTAACTTTTTTGTACAACTACTTAATAATAACAATTTTTTTTAAATGAGAAAAAAAACTGAAAAAAAAAAGAAAACAACAAAAAGCACTCACTTAAAAATACAAAACTGTGGTTGATTTTAAATTTAAGAATTGTGGTGATTTTAATTCTCAAGACTCTGGAGCTAGGTAATTGTCCCTTTGATAGGATATCAGGGTATCTATCGGTTTCTGACTCATTCCTATTGACTCAGAGTTTCATCAGTTCAAAGTAAGGTCAATCTGGTTCTTGAAGATTTCAACCAGTTGCCAATTTGCAATCACTCCTCCTTTTAACCATTGCTCAACTCCAGCAAAGACAAATAACTAATAAAAGAGGAAGACAGACTCTTCTAATGCAGCGATATCTGAGAGAATAAATGATGTTACTATTTTAATATTCAAAAGAAAAGATTACATTTGCTGTGCATCTATCTTTAGATAGAACAGGTGAACCTCTCTCTATTCTATGACTTCCGCTTAATGTTAGGTTGAATGCTATCTGCTGGCCAATCCACTTTGTCGTTCATGAACTGCTTACAAGGGTAGCATTGTTACAACTAAACCTAAATGGAAATAGTTCCTAGGATAATTAAATGTACATAGAATTCTTTTAAGAAAAAAATGGAATGAGATCCATTTAAGAGTCAGGAAATCCTGAGCATCTCTGGGTGTCTGCAGAAAGGGGCAGTGAGCTGTTTTTGACATTCACAGACTTCCCATCGTGAACAATGACAAAGAATATTCTCTAATGAAGACATCAGTGACCCTATACATTCTTCCTCTGTACATTCTTCTGTTACATTACCCTGTACAATGTACAGGTAAATGGGAAAGAGGGACTAGTAAACAGACAATCACAATGCAACAGAGAGTGTTAGGGAAATACAGAAACAGGCAGATGTGTAGAGCAGACAGTGTGCAGGACCAAAGTTATCAGCTCTGGCTTAGAAAACCCGACGCCTAGCTGGAGTGACTGCTGCTGGCTTTGGACAGTCCGCGTTGCTCAAGGCTCAGCTGGAGATGCCTCCCATGCCCTGGAAGACTGACCCAATGCTCCCAACTCTGCTGTCACTTCAGCTTAGGGTTGCCAGGGCCTGGATCCTGGACTAAACCATTATTCCTGGGCTCTTCATCATCATCAAATCCATTTCTTGTCAGAATGGCTCACTCACACCTAGCAGAACCAGCTGCTACTGCAGCAGTCTTCCTCTTGAACAGGGATGGGAAAGGGAGGGAAAGCCAAGGATGACAAATGACTTAGCCCTGATGAGAGCTACTTACAAAGTTCACAAATGGGAAAGTCTCCACCTTACCTTTTCCAGTGGGCAGTGAGTACTATCTCGCAGAAACGGAAGTAAGTTTGGTCGGTCATACTCAGCGTAAAGACTGATCTGTTTTTCATGGTAGCGCTGGCCCTTATGGTGGTCTCTCTTGAAGAGCTTATGCAAATACTACAAGGGACAAGATAACCCATAAATACTAATGGGAGAAAAAAATGCTCTACCCCCTACCTCTGCCCTAGCCTCCTCCTGGAATGAAGGAAATGGGGAAAGAAAGGAATGTGCCATGTAGCTGATATCCTTGTTCCTACCATTAGACTTTCCTTGGCCACTGTAAGTTTTTCTTCTACAAGTTTAAAGGGCATAGAAAATAGCTGCTCCTGCTTTACTCCCTGATAGTACAGTATATGGGATTGAAGTGGTCATAAGGATATCTAGACTGACAAGCCCCCAAGACTGCACAGGACATGGGTTAGCCACTGTCAAGTGTGTGAGGATGAAATGAGGATCTGATCTTTGACCACTCTGCGGCACTGAGTGCAAAACAGCTGTGTGTGTCTCCTTGGCAGGAGGACTCAATATCCACAGAGTATACTTGGCTTTTGCAGTAATTCATGACCTGGTTATATTTAATGGCACTTATGGGGGAAGGAGCCTACTTCTAGATTCCTAGTATGAAGCACTAAAATGACCATATTCGATTATAAACCAAAGTTCACATGCCTGTCCTGCAATTAAGCCTTGGATTCTTAGTATTTGCCACAGTTTAGCAATTTCAGGGGATTGTTTGCAGTCAGACTGCCGATCTGCACAGTGACCTTTGTGAGAAGTTCCCATTGTAACACCCACCAGTACTGAAAGGTGCTATGGTCTACTGTTCCATGAAAAGGGAGAAAGATAGTACTGCAGTCCACATGGCTGCAAGTGCCTCTAAGTCTGCACACTTACATTTCTTCAGCTATATACTCAAGAGGGGGTAGCTTTATTTGTAGTCTTCACTGATTTCTTAGAAGCCACACTAATTTGTGTTCCCACAACTAGGTATAAAGGTTTTTTTCTCCCCACTCCATGCATCCTTACCAATACTTCTGCACAATTAATATATACTAATTTAAAATAGAAAAAAATCTTTAAAACAAAGGCAAAGAAGACAATAACACTTACTACATGTTGCAACTCTGGCCTGTCTTCTAATTCTTCTACTACCTTTTTAATCTGAAGAAAACAAAGATTAAATGTAGTTGGGAAGACAAACACAGTGGTAAAATTATCCAGTGAACATCTCTCTTCCTTCTAGCTCAAGTAGTTTCAGATGTTCATTCATAAATGCATGTCATGATTTAAGTGTCATTTATTCCCTGTGGAGGCTTGGTTCCCTAATATGATGGTCCTGAAAGGTGGAGGAACCCTACCGAAGTGGAAAAAGGATTAATGTTAATCCCAGAGTAGAGTAGATGCAAACGAGAGGAGATAGTTGTAAAAAGACTGCAGGTCTTTTGTAGATAAAAGATACAGATAGTTTCCCCTCCCAGTTATCTTCCATGCCACTTCTCTCTTTTACAAGAGCACTGCTGGGCCTCATATGTGTCTCTCCCCCGCTGCTCCCCCCCGCCCCCGGTCTCTTGCCATGGGCTGTTCTACAGGGCCTTGCGACAGCAAGAGGGCATCACCAGATGCATCACCTTGAACTTGGACCAGTGCACTGAGTCAAAAGAAACATCCTACCTCTCAAAGTTACCCAGTATGTATTATGGTGTTACTAGCAACAGAAAAAGGACTTCTAGATATAAAAATAACAAGATACTTACAGAAATTTTATCTTCATTGTCCAAAAGCATGTCAACAGCTTTCTGAAATATAAGAAAATAGTCACTGAAAAACTGCTACATGAAAAACACAATGCAGTGCATACACAACTGCAGTTAACGGTGAGGGCTTGTGGAGGAGCACCTAGCTTTACAATAGCTCTTATATATGACATTTACAGAGATACGTATTTCCGAATATGTTTCACTCTGAGGTCTGAGCAATTTGCATATACTAAGATGATGTTTGGCGTGTAACTTGCTAAATAAAAGCATCCTGATATATTCAAAACATCTGCCACATTCTAGTCTCATCAGGTACCTTTGCCAGTTCTCTTGTGACTCTCAATAGTATCTCATCACTGTAAACACAAAATGAGCTTCTCTTCCAATGACTCAAACCTTCACTGAGTTGTCTGAATAGATGACTACTACTGTACATCACAGTCCTGGTAGTGTAACTTAAACATGCAATAAGCCTCTTGGAGCTTTTGGGCTTCTGCTTCTAGATTTATTTAAAACTTCTATTTCAGCAGAAAAAGCTGGAAGTGGCGCTGTGGCTCAAGTGGTAGAGCACTAGCCTTGAGCTGAAGAGCTGAGGGACAGTGCCCAGGCCCAGAGATCAGGCCCCACAACTGGCAAAACAAAAACAAAAACAAAACTTCTATTTCCTCAATAAGATAGACTATGAGGAGAAGTGTGAGGGCGGGGGAAGGAGTGTGTGTGTGTGTGGAGAAGATGAATAAAGGGAATGAGAGGGGCTGAGAGACACTATCACTTTGTAAGAACCACTGTGAACTATGAAGGGTGGAGTGGGGTTCCACTGTTCAATCTAAACTATGACAAAATAACACATTCTATATTTCCTGGGCCTAAGTATCACTGAGACCAATGGACACACACATGCTGGATCTGTGAGTGCCAGAAAATAAAACAGTAACAAGAGGATCTAAACAGAAGTTCACTTAAATTTAAATTCTGGGACATGGAACAAGAGGGTTAAATGACCCAAAGCATACACCAAGTTTCTTAGTTTCGATGAAACATATAGAATGTTTTACTAAAAATTACTTTGGGAATTTTTAGGAGGTACTAGGTTTTGACTCAGGGTGTTATGTTTGCTAGATAGGGATTTTACTGTCCCAGCATATCTCTGGCTAAAAAGTACTTCAGACAGACAGACAGACATCTTTGCAAGTTCTACACCAAAAGGTAATTATTTTTAAAGAATAATCATATCAAACAAAGGATGCCTGAATACAAGTACTAAACTAACTTATAACACCGAGCATGGGAAGGCAAGTCCCAGCTATGATCAGTGAGCATATGGAGGCCAAGCTAAGCGGTCCATAGAGATGTCTAATGATGAGACAGAGTTTATCACTACTAATCAGCACCTTACCTCTGAATCAAAGTCCATTAATAAGACAATTTTGTCCTTGATAGAACTGAAAAGATTATGTTTGTGGATCAACTGGAAAACATCTTTATGTCTTAATGTTAAGTATATTTCCAGAGCATTGCCGTAGTTTTTATCATAAGTATACCTGGCAATAGAAAAACTTTTCATTAATATTCACTAGTTCTGGGAAACAGTTTCACCCACTGTCCTTATCTTCTAATTGTTTGAGATTTATAAAAAAGTTTTTAAAATTAGGAGTACATGTAGAAAAATGGTAACAAAAAGCACCCTCACCCTTCAGTTTGCCAAATGTTAAGCATGAGAAACTTTTCAATATATATTGATCTGGGGGTGGGGGGAGGGAGAAAGCAGGAAAACATACTCACAATTCTGCCAGCGTTTTAAGTAATGTCTTGTTCTGACTGTCTTTCTTCAGGTGATCCCGAACTGCTTGGACTATTACGGAATTGTTATACAGATCTCCAGGCCATTCTCTGATGAGTGTGGCAAAACCCTAACCAAAGTAAACAACAGAAGAAAAGAACACTACAATCAGGCATGATGGGATGGAGTACACACTTTGGTTTTCACCTTGTCAGTCCAGGATACATATAGAGACTCAGTCACCATAGTCCCTCCTCATTCCAGGGGGTGGGGTTTCCTATCAACACCCAGAGGAGGGCATGGCATGCTGAGAAGTCTCACCAGGTAGGCCTCCTGGGGTTTCGCTCTATAGTCTGGTAGCCAGTGTATTCATGCAAAGAAAGCTCCAAAAACCTCATCTATAGCAGAGCCCATGGAAGCTTCTGGATCAGCAAAGATGATACATTCTCAGAGGGCAGTGCCCTCAGAGAGGGTGCAGGAACACTGTGCCCCATGCACGCCTTGACCTGCGCATCTCTTTTCCATATCTGTGGTGCTGAACATGCTGGCCTGAGTTAATCAAACCTGAGGAAGTTTGTGGAAACCTCCATGGATAGCCAATCAAGACGCACAGATAAAGGACTTGGAGCTTGACCTGGCAGGAGAAGGTACTGGAGGTCAATCCAGATTATGTCAGAACTGAAGTGGACTGCGGATGCCCATCTAGTGTTTGCTGCAAAATAGATGGCCTGCTTGCTGGTAAAACCTTATACTTCTGAGTCACAGAAGTCCTCTGCTCTGGGATGGTGTGAGAACAGAGGAAAATGGTGTTTTTCCAACACAAAAATAGGATAACAACCCAAATAAACAATGCTTAGACGTGAATGTATGATTACAACTTTGGTCAATAAAGAGCTCAGTTAGCTTTTAGACTGTGAGCTTGCAGGAAGTGAAAAGAGGGCTGGAGAATCACTGTATAGTCCTCCACTTACTGTTCCTGGAAGGCAGGCATCCACTTGTGCCTGATGAAATATACGACAACAGGTGCCACAGCCCACACAAAGGTTAGCTCTGCTGTAGACTACCACATCTGGATGACATCACTAACATCTTCCAAATATGATCTAAGTCACCTTCACTCCTACCGCTTTCTATACACTTTAGGTCTGGGCTGCTGGGTGTTCCCACTTGGGACAGACTCCTCCCACAGGGGCTCTAAACCTGTAACAAGTTAGTCTTTGTTTTCCTTCTACTGTGGCTTCTAACTCTGGTTTGTGTTGGGTTTTAGGACTATGGCTTAAGTCTTAATCCCTAGCTCTATCTTTGGATCCCAAATTTTATGACTCAGAGAGAAACCCCAGCTTTCCTGATTTGACACTGTTTGCCACCCATGGCTGATTCTTGGCCAGTAGCCTAGCCTAAACTGCCTATGTCTTCTGCTTCTCAACTTCTGTGCTCATAAGTTAAAATTTGTGTAGTTAACTTACTGGTTTTGTTTGGTAAAAAAATTAGACTTATTTAGACGTCAGCAAAGAAAGGGGTAAAAATGTCCAAATTACTAAACAGAGCCATATTATTAATATTAACTAACTCCACTAATTCTTTAGTAGACAACTAGTAAATTAGTTTAAATATTTGAAAGTGAACACAATCTGGCAAAAGTTGTTTCTGTACAATACCAGGATTTGGTAAGAAGAAAACAAAAGGACCAGTAATAATGTTTTCACTGAAATGTCATTCAATTTCAACTAAGATAACCCTTGAAAAGGATGAAGAGAAACAGTAATAGACCTGCATTTGTCATTTAAACCACAACCTTTCTGCATGTTAGCATGATTGCAATTTGACTCTATGGATTTGGGGAGGAAATGCAAACAGAACATAAAATATTCATTAACTAAAAGATTACTTTGGATGAAATTTCTCTTAAGACTTCGCAATGTATGAGAAGAAATAGCCTGTAAAGAGTCTACCAAATGGGCAACTATCAGTAGTCCTGAGAATAGAAACAATTCTGTTCAAGCAAAGAAAAAAGCATGGCTCTGCTTTCCCTCCTTCCTATCCAAACAAAACCCTCATCATATGACCTACTTCTAAACAAGACAAGCCAGGTGCTGGTGGCTCATGCCTATTAATCCAAGCTGCATGGGAGGAGAGGTCTGAGAATCGTAGTTCAAAGCCAGTCTGGACAGGAGAGTCTGTGAGACTTTTATCTCCAATTAACCACCAAAAGGCTGGATGTAGAGCTCAAGTGGTAGAGCCCTATCTTGGTCACAAAAGCTCAGAGACAGCACCCAGGGCCTGTGTTCAAGCCCCAGGAACAGGGAAAAAAAAAAAAGACAAAATGAATAAGGAGTGTGGTGATTGTGATTTAAAGGATGAGTCCATGGCAACCATTCCACACTAAGCTTCTGTCTGCTTGACTGGCTTCATGCACCTTGAATAAAAGTGAAAAAGCACTGCCACCATCGACCAGTGGCCATAATGAGTATTTGAAGGACATAGCCAGAGAACTAACTGTAAGGACAGAGCAAGCAGGGGATAGAACAACGCCTGCCACAGTAAGTCAAAGGTGAGGAAGTGTGCATTGAAAGAAATGCCACAGGGCTGGGAAGATGGCTCAGTGGTAGAGCGCTTGCCTTACATGCATGAGGCCCTGGGTTCGATTCCTCAGCACCACATAAGCAAAAAGAAAAAAGCGGGAAGTGGCGCTGTGGCTCAAGTGGTAGAGCGCTAGCCTTGAGCTGAAGAGCTGAGGGACAGCGCCCAGGCCCAGAGTTCAGGCTCCACGACCGAACCACGCCCCCCCCCAAAAGAAATGCTATAGAAATCATGCCATTTTTAAGCTCACACATATTTCACTAATACTATGAAAACAAAACTTAAGAATTTAACACACTTCTGCTTGGTTATAAATTAATAGGCAAAGATTGGAAACTAGCTATATGGCTGGAATCACAATACAAACACATTATAGGGCATCATTACCTGCAAGAAAAGCATATTGCTTCTTATGTTTTTTAGGAAGAAAATATTTTAGAGAAGTATCTTTATTTCAGGGGAATGGGCAGGCTCAGGGAGATTTGGGATGAGTGGCTAGGAAAGTCTTGCTAATTTTCTCAGGTTGGCCTCAAATTCATATTCTTCCTGCCTTAGCCTCCCAAGTATGGGATTATAGATGTATTCTACTGTACCCAGCTTGGTTTGTTTTCTAATTACTTATATATTGTTAGTAAACTGACTTTTAATGCTATTAGCAGCACAAAATTCTCATCCACATACTATCAAAAATAGAATACTACTTGTTTATTTCTTGGGGGTAATTTAATTCAAAATCAAACTGTAAGTTGAGATTAATGGGAACTAAAGTATGAATTATTTATAAGACCTTAAACAATAAAAAGTATCTGTAACTTTCTTAATAGTCTTAACAAGACAGATACTCTAAAATATTCAGGAGCAAAATACTACAAGCCTGAGATTGAAATTACACTTATTTCTTTTACTTTGGCTAAAAAGTTTTCCAGAGATGACAACAATCTGTAGGATAACTTTGGTGAAGGGGATTTAAAACAGCCTAAGAGTCAAATCATATGAAAGAACTGTGACAAAATCATGTAAGTCAAATCTCTACATTTTTAAACATCTTCCATATACCGCACCTCATAATCACTTTCCAAAAACTCATGTAAGATCATTTCATAGATGAGTGGTTTCAGAACCGGATCTCCTCTGGGCAAATAAGGACTAATGGCCTAGGGGAAGAAAGATAAAAAGTTCCTTTAAAAAGTGCCACGACAAAACTGTTTCCAATCATGCAGAAAACATAAAAGCAGAATTTTCTTTGGGAAACTGTTAAGAAAAGATCCAAAAGAATTCTTATTTTCTAACAACAAATTACAATATATTTTCAAAAGTTTACACACACACACACAGATACCTACATGTATGTAAGTATACACCAATGAATAAAAAACAGCCAAGGCTAGCCTTTATTTTTCTTTTTCCTGATCAATGGATAAAAAATAGCCAAAGTCAGTGTCTATTTTTTTTTCTTACTGAAAATCTTCAGTAAGAGGAGACTGAGGGCCATGAAGGTTACAACAATTCAGTAATCAGAGCAGGGGTCATCTTTTCTCTCCTCAGTGACTTGCTGTATCCGTCTTCAACAGCTCAATTTTATCTTTTGAAATTAAGAAAAATACATCTGTGTCCTCAAATATTTCCAATGTTGTGTCCAAATTCTGCCTAATGATCCTCTCGTGCCTTACACGTCACCCACCGCTATGCCTGGTACTGGGGATGGGAGCTCACAGCTCCTGAGGGAAAACTTGCAGATCCTTAAGGAGATAATGGCAATAGGCTGTGGTGAGCAATGCCATAGGGCTAAATAACTGCTACAGAGGAGGATTCTATGGACCAAGGCCTGACTACTGGGCAAAGAAAGTAGAGGAAGGCACATGGCAGGAGCCACAGGAGCACACGAACACACATGTGTTCAGGGAGGCCCAAGGGGCCCAGACTTGCCAGAGGAGGTCACAGATGGGACAAGAGGCTAGGGAGGAAGGGATGTGAGACCATGGGAGGAATTCCAATTTTATCCTGTAGGTAGGAGTGAAGTAACAGCCAATAGAAGTCAGAGTCCGAATTTATATTCTGAACAGTGATCTCTGGACTAGGATTGTCCCTAGATTTCTCAGGAGATCTTGCAATGGCCCCCACAAGGGTGGGAGCAGTGGTTCCAAAGGGAATAGGAGGGGCCCATTGGGACTGATGTGCTAAAACTTTCAAAACTGGAGAGTAGGTAGCGAGAGTGACAAATTCTCATCAACAGCAGCGGCTCGGAGCTATTACACTGGGAGAATGAGCATACAGTATGTCATAAGCACAGGTTCACAGGAGAAGGACCAAATCTTGATAGAATATGGATTTACTCTGAGTTAGCAACATCTGCAGTCTATCTACAAGGAAAATTGAAGTCTGGGTCCTGAAGCCCAATGACTAGATAGTCTCTCAGCAGAAGCTGAGAGCAGAAGCTGAGGAGAGATGCTGAGAACGTTTATGTGGCATGTATAGGCGAAGCAATAACTGGGACTTTCAAAAAAGTACATATATAATCATGGCAGAATATTCAAAAGGCTCACATGCCTATTATATCACAAAAGTTTTGTTTTAAAAAAACATAGGTAAAAAGCTTTTTCAGCTTTTTGTTGGTACTGGTATTTGAACTCAGGGCCTCATGTTTGCTAGGCAGGTACTCTAACCAATATGCCATATCCCCAGCCTTTTATTGTTCAATTTTTTGGATAGGGTTTTGCCCAGGGCTAGCCTCTGACCATGATGTCCTCTTACTTATGTCTTCTTTGCATCTGAGATCATAGGAGCATGCCACTATACCTAGCTTTCTCATTAAAATGGGGTCTTGCTAATATTTTCCCTGGCCAGCCCCAAACTATGATCCTCACAGGTGTGCCCTGGGTGTTTATTTTATTGATTGATAGAAATGTTACATACTAAGGCAATTTATTCATTAGAGCTAGGCAGTCAAGTCTTGTCACTTGTCTTCTAGTAGGTAAATACTATCTGAATGTTGAAAACATGGCTAACAAATGTACTCTGCTTTACAGTAATTCTTCTATAAATTTGAAGAAGTCTTACATTTTACAATCTACTATATAGAAGTATTCTTATTTCCCAAAATCATTAGAATAAACATGAAAACTTTATCCACATACAATGAAAGCTGGAAACAACTAAGAAATCAAACATATCATGTAAGTAAAAATTACACAGATATTTATATTTTCTACAAAATATAAACTACTTCATATTCTGAAACAAATTATTCAAAGTTTACTTTTTCTTTCATGCTGTTACTCCTCAGTATAAAACTGCCTGCTACTAATTTTATTTCTATCTCAATAAACTACATGCAAAAATTACAAGTCAAACATAAAGCTGTGCGTACCTTAAGCTGTCCAATTTCTTTAAATTTATAAACTTCATATTCCCAGAGTGGTGCATTTTTCCCAAGAATTTTCTGGCATTTGCTGGCAGTAAAAACATCCCCGGGGGAAATGAAGTATATATGAAAAAAAAAAAAGAGAATAAATGGACATTTTCCACAGTGGTTAAGATTAACCTCTCTTTTTTGTTTTTTGTCTTGAGTTTTTTTGTTTTTGTTTTGTCGGGTGTGGGGCCTGAACTCTGGGCCTGGGCACTGTCCCCCAGCTCTTCAGCTCAAGACTAGTGCTCTACCACCTGAGCCACAGCACCACTGTGGATTTTTCTGCTTATGTGGTGCTGAGGAATCGAACTCAGGGCCTCATGCATGCAAGGCAAGTACTCTACCACTGAGCCACCTTCCCAGCCCAACCTCTCTGAGTTTTGACAAACTTCTATCTCCAGCACCAATGAATAAGAAGTACTAATCTCTTACTTTGGCTACTGAGGTTGACAGAAACAATGAAAATTAAACAAAGTATTTAACATAATGATGAGTCTTTTTTAGAAGACTACAATTAGGAGTTTTCCCCAATAACTTTCTTCTCCAGAGCATCTATTTCTGTAGAGCACTGCTGGTTTGGGGTCCTTCTTACCTGGAAGAAAACTTACCCTCTCTCAACTGTCAGTTCCTTCCTGAGTGGTTTTGAACATGGGCCACAAAGTCAACCCTCAGGAACTGTTCATGTAATTGAGTCAAACCTTATTTACGCCATGAAGGAACACACATTCTTTAAACTCCCTTGGGGAGAAGCAGTCCTGAGGTCTTTCAGGATACACACTGCAGTACCAGGGGCTCTCAGTGGACCACATGACCTCATTCTTATTTCCTGCCTAGCACAGACCCCTGAAACCCATGACTCGAGGGTCTGACTCTTCCATCCAACTGCTACCCTCTGGTTGGGAGGCCAATTCTCCTTGTTTGTTCTGGGACAGTATTTCCAGGTTGTGTATAATGCAAATAGCCCAAGAAATCCCAGGACACAATGTCTCCTTCCAGGCAAACGGCAAGTCTTACTACTGACCAGCACAATGAGGGCAATGAATTCTTCCAGAACAGCCCATTAGAAAAGATGTCCTACATTCAGGGTTCCTATCAGTAACACAAACCATGGCTAGGCAGGGCCAGTGGGACACTACTCGGCTATGAGAAGTAGGGACTGCAGGTCTGGGGTAAAAGGCTCATCTACTTGCTACTAGTTCTGGTTCAGGAGTGCTCTGGCCATATCAGCTCCTAAGATGTTCCTTAGGTCTAATCCCAGAGTCTTGTGTCATCTGCCAGAACCACAAAACTGGCACATTAACTTTTTACTTTATCAACAGGAATATTACACATACTTTCTCCTTGACACACCTCTCATTAAAACATCAGCTAAATCAATTCCCTTTGGGGAAAGTGGTTTGTGTGTGTGTGTGAATCTGTTTTGTGACTGGAACCATTAATACTAAAAAAAAAAAAAAATGTAGGGGCTGGGAAGGTGGCTCAGTGGTAGAGCGCTTGCCTTGCAAGCCTGAGGCCCTGGGTTCAATTCCTCAGCACCATATAAGCAAAAAGAAAAAAAGCCGGAAGTGGCGCTGTGGCTCAAGTGGTAGAGCGCTAGCCTTGAGCTGAAGAGCTGAGGGACAGCGCCCAGGCCCAGAGTTCAGGCCCCACAACCGGACCCCCCCCAAAAAAAAAAACAAAAAAAATGTAAGCTGCAATGAGTGTCCTCTTTTTATTCACATTAATATTAATAAATAATCATGGAAACATCGTTACCGTGCTGCTGTGTCATAGTCTCCTCTCTCTATCAAGTGATTTATATATGCCAAACCAATATCCTAGGGAAAAGCAAATGAAAGGATTTCATAATTCAGCTGGGAAACTGAGTCTCAGCTTCTTAGTGAGCTGTGACACTGGGGTCCTATCCTGTTAGTCTGAAACCTGTCCAGATGCCTGCTGCTTTACATAATTATGCTTGCTGTGTCTTCTAGCATATTTATTTAAATGTACTTGTACCTTAAAAAACAAATTTGGATATTCAGGTTTAAGAAAAGACACAGCATTGCTATTTTAAAGACTTCTAATCTGCTGCCCTCTTAAGATTTTCTGCAAAGGAAACTAAAAACATGGTCTAACACTTCCATGTTGTCACTGGATAAAAATTTCTATTTTTCAGGCTTGCATCTGGAAACCTCCTCTACCCCACGTCTGAAGATCTGTTGTAAGAAAAATATGCAATGATCAACTATTAGGTTAAGAAGAAATATGAAACATTAAACTAAATTCGTTTGGAAAAAACAAGCCATTCAGAGTTCCAAGTTCACAGATGAAAATGCTGGGCTGACGGCAAGGATGACCGCTTTTGAGCATTGCTGTGGATTCACTCACTCCTCTGGGTTCTGAGAGGATTTGGATGGCAGTGCTACTACTGTACAATGGGCGACAGTTCTTGCTGATCTCCCCAGATCCTTCTTACAAAGCATTATTTCCAGCATTTTCATGGATGCTTAAACTTGGCATACAAAACAAAGCTTGGGCTTTAACTTCTCTATGTACCAAAGGTATAGATGGAAGTTCCTCCTGGATGACAGAAATGGCAGGAGCCCATTTCTTCTTTGCACACCTGGTATGAAATGACATAGGACTACACAGAATTTAGTGTATGGGACAGTCTTGTTTCAAGAGTGGAGGGACATATTCACTGTTTATTACATTGTCTTCTGTAATTGCTATGTGGTAAGTCATACTTGATATCTGCAGGAACTTGAGATAAGGAAGGGTGTCTACACTATTTCTCTGAATACAGACCTTTGTAACCTGTTTCAAGGCCCATCCCGCCACCCCTCCCGCCTTGTGTAATCACTGTGTCCTCCACTTCATTCTCTGTGCACCTCGAGTGCCAGACCTCTTCTACCTCTTTTCCCTTAGCACAGGCAGGCCTAAGCATCTCCCTTACATGGCACTTGGCTACAGGCTTCACACTCTTCTACTCACAGCTCACCTGATGGTCTATATTCAACTCTATCATCACCTACTTACTTTTTTTATTCCCTCTAACACATTGAGAATAAAAATCTATCAACAGAAAACTCACTGGGTACATCCATATTACCAAGTTCGGTGTACCTGAGTAGCTGAAATTGCTTGGATTTTCTGACCTTACCTCAACCATGTCAGCTTTTAACTCTATACCCTGAATGCTCTCCTCTCCCAGGAAACAGCTTACCTCTGGCAGGTCCGAATCTGCTTTTTATGTCATCATTCCTGGAATGACAACATTCCTGACAGAAACACCCTCCCCCCCCATGTTGTCTGACTTATGCTCTAGCCCTGGGTGGGCTGATCCAAATTCAAGCCCTTGATTGATATATTTTTGTTAGCTGGTATTTTTTAGCTCTCTGGAATCGATTTTTTAAAATTCAAATTTCTTTCCACCAGGATGCCTCATGAGATCGTCTTCCCCATTCCCATACCTCTTCAGGACTTATCAGTTTCCACTTGACCACCAGATGCCCTCTCTCTCCACCTCAGCTGGCCTCTCTCTGGCCACATCTGCATCAGACTCCTTTTCTTTGTATTTTCAACGTGGAGTTTTACAGAGAAGTTCAAGATAGGGAAGGAGTAGGACGAAAGAGTTTGTGCTGCAACTCAGTTTCTAGCTTCTGTTTACAGACTAGGAAGCTGGCTCCATGTTCCCTGAGGGCCCCTCACACACAGCAGAAATTTCATGCCTGCTCTCCATCTGCACAGTCACTGCCACAGTTAGCAATGAAATGGGCTTTCTGCCACTGTATTTTTCCAGAACCCACAAGGTAATAAAAATGTATTTGATGTCCTAGGTTAGTCTCCATAACAAAATCAACTGAGTTTGTTATCACAGAGCCACCAAAGCAATCTAGTTTTAAGAAACCCCTCTTTCGATAAGTGTTGTGGTAATGTGATTTTTACCTATGATTTAAAGAAACTTCCATACGTATGACTGGCAAGTTCTGTATTTAAAGTTCATTTCACAAATATAGTTTCCAAATTATCTACAACTACCTCTTAGCAGGTGTAAAAAATTCTTGTTTACAAGCAGAAACTGATTCAATAAAGACACCTATTTTGACCTCATAGGTGAGAACATTAGTTTGAAGTAAGTTCCTCTGCAAAGAGAAGAGTCTGCACTTTCCAAATTACTTTCAGCCTCGTTATTACTTAGTAAAAGATAGCTTTAAATATTGAAACTACACACTTACCAGAATCTTATGTCTTTTAATGTTCCTTTGGCTAATTTCAGCTGCCATCAAGGCTTCCTACATGTATATGGACATGGTAAAACAAGCAGAGGAGAGAAAGAGAAAAGGGGAGAGATGGAGACAAAGTTAATGTAGTTATAAGCACCATGTTGATGGTACTTTTATTTTCTGGACTACATGAATGAAGCCTCTCTTCCTGTGGCTGCTGCTCAAAGCACTGGAAGTTTCAACACTGGTTCAAAAAGCTCCACTGAATTAAAATAGATGAAAGTATGTAAAATAAACACTTTTGCTTTTTTTTTTTGTTGGTTGTGGGGCTTGAACTCTGTGCTTGGGTGCTGTCCCTGCACTCAAGGCAAGCGCTCTACCACTTGAGCCACAGCACTACTTCCGGTTTTCTAGTTGCTTATTGGAGATAAGAGTTTCACAGCCTTTCCTGCCCAGGTTGGCTTTGAACCAAAATCCTCAGATCTCAGCCTCCTGAATAGCTAGGATTACAGGCATGAGCCACTGGCACCCGGCTCACTTTTGCTATTTCCATGTGAATTAATTTACACATTAGAATACTAGAATCACCTTTCATAGACAAATACAAATATGACAAAAGCTCATAGGCCAGATCCTATCCACTCCCTCCCTCTCCCACCAACCCTCCCCACTTAACTGTCAACCTCTTGTAGTCTTTTTGTTTTTAAATTTTTGACATAAACATCAGAAAGTTACTGGTTTCCTACATGTTTTTGGCTTGTGGCACTCTAATTCAACTATGTAAAGCTTATAATGTAAAGATCTTCCCACCACTGACAAAAAAAAAAAAGAGATCTTTCATGCAATTGTTTCTAACATATTTATAAGATTATGTCTTTGTTGCTTTGTATGTCCCTCCCCCATGGTATAACCCCTGCTTTCACTATATATGATGTTGGTATATGTGGAGGGGAAGGGAAAAAAACAAATCGTTAAAACAGGGATATAGGAGGACCCATTGCAACAATGAGATGTGGGGGGCCCGGGGGGGAGGGGGGATGCGAAGGGATGGGAAGGAGAAACAAAGGGGGAGGCTACAATGCTTGATAAGAAATGTACTCATAATCTTGCCCATGTAATTGTAACCCCTCTGTACAATATTTTCACAATAAAAAAATACATTTATTAAAAAAAAACTAGCCTCAAAAAAAAGCAAATAAAAAAGATCTTTTATCTTCTGTTATATCTAGGTCAATACTTGCAAGAATCTAAAGTGAAAACTACTTCATATTTCTTCTTTTCAAGAAGCCAGTCGATATGATCATCTTGGTCTCGTTCTTTGGCCACTACGACGTCTCTTGGACTCACAATGTAGAAGAGTGATTCTCCTTCAGAGTAAACTGGAGGGAGAGAAGAAAAGTCACTTGGGTGACTTGACATGACGAATGTGGCAATGCTTTCATGGGACCTGGTAAGCTTTCCTATTTCAGTGTAAGTGAAAATTATCTAACTTTGCAATCATGTATACTTGACTCTGCTGGAAGGAAAAAGAGGAAGATAGGGTAGAGAATGACAGAATATATTTCAGTGTCTTCAAATATATATAAGTGCAAAATTACCCAAAAAGGAAGGAAACAAGAGAGAAAGAATGGGGGAAAAAAAGGGAGATTAAGAGGAAAATACTATATAAAACTTAAAAAAAATAAGATACGTTTAAAATTCTGTTTAATACATTAATATTATGACTTCAGGTAAAAAATATAGTGTCCAGAATTTCCCATGTCTATTGCATATTGGAATTCATCTACTACATATAAACTTTATTTATGGCCATCTATATTACTGTTCTATTTTTACAGAACAATTACCTCACTTAGTGATAAATGTGTCCTTCTCATCAAGGTCATCTAAAGCATAAATGACAGCTATCTGAGCCCAGGGGACATGATCTGTCATTTCAGCATGCTACCTACAGTGCTAATATTGAGGGTTTCTCACCAAATTCAATTACAAAACCTGTTCTGAAGGGCTTTTAAGTGTGCAGCACAGTTTGCTCTGAATAAAGTACCAAAACTGTTGTGAACCAGTCACTTTTGCCAAGTCCAGATTTGCTCTCACATGTTTAACCAATTAGGGGCATCATATCAGAAATACCAAACACACAGAATATTTCTCCCTCACTACTTTGGCCAAAATAGCAACTCTAAATGTCCTGAAAACAAAAAAAGGACAATTATTTCTAAAATAAGGAAGAACCTCTAAAAAGGTTACTCGACAATTTCCCTCAATATATTTTACAATATATTGAAACAGAGATTCCTTGGCATGACTAAATAGCAACAATTCTCCTTTATTTCTGAGCAGTCTGAAATGAAGCTATTTACTTTATAAATATTCATCTAAGGCCTGGTGATTTGGTAGGGTTCCTCTCAGTTTTAAGTAGTTGGTTAGTAATAGACAGACAACTCTATCATCCCAAAGCAGCAAACCTTCTGGGGAAATAAAGTTGGAGGCAATATGACAATCAGAGTCATGAAGCTTGTCCTCAAGTTACATGCCACTTAAATAGTTCGGACAACAGAAAAGAATACCAAAGGAAATAGAGACTATTTCTCATCTCTGTCCTATCAGGGCATTTTTTTTTTGGGGGGGGTGGGGGAACTGTAGTATCTTTTTACTACAGTAGCCTTTGGCAAAAGCTGCTCAGGAAAGCTCTGCAAAATTTTTGGGCCTAGATATTGTGGTATGTAATTGAAGAGGCCTGTTCAGATATTCTCTAAGGTCTTTTCAGCACCTTCATTTCAATTCTGTCTTGCAAGGGCTGAGCACAAAGGAAAAGAGCATAAATCTAAGAAATCATAGGAGCCAGCTCTCTGATATGTCTCACCTAAATGGTAATCCCTGCATTCATTCTCCTGAAAGCCTCTGACAGTCAGAGCATCAGACGAGATCTCCTCACAGGTCTCAGAAAGTGGCTGAATGATGTCCAGTCTAGGCCTGGCACAGTACTCTCTTTCCTAGAGGGATATGGACAGAAGACTCATATTAGTTACATCATAATTTACATAGATGAACTCAAGTTATCACACCTGCTGGCATAGAGAAGACCTTCTAACAGCTGGTCCCCCAGCGCTGTCTTATAGGATCCTGTCATTTGGGCACTCCACCCCTCATTCAGTGTCAGGAGAATGGCAGCCCAATAGCAATCCAGAGAATTTTTTATACAAATACGTTTTATTTGAAATAAAAATGTTTATATAGCTTTCACTTAGAAACAAACTGTCACCTGACTGTATTATGGAGCAAAAACAAAGCACAAACATCCTCGGTATTGACAATTATTTGGAGACAGGTAGGAAGCCACTACTTAGTTTTTAAAAAACTGACCTTCCCTTAAGGCCTGGTAATAGAAGTATAAACAATGTAAATGAATCTACAATTACCAGTTGTCATATCTTATCTCTGTTACCTGAATATTCTGAGATCATAAACATACCCATCAATAAACCTGGGAAGGGTTGCTTATATCACAGTCACATGAGTTCTTGGCAGGCTGGATCAAGGAAGAGTAATTTGGAACAAGTTTTATATCTATTTAGAAGAAAACACTATATTCCCTTAAAATAACAGGTTACAGAAAGATACTGCCTCAAAGTTATGCTTTTTACTCTGATTCATTTTTAGTTTCTGTGATTTACACAGTTGTCTGTTTAATTTGCTTATATTACAATCCTGCCACAAAATCTTAAAGCCCACAATACCTATTATTTCTTCAAGATCTGTATTGTTTAAATTTCATACTCTAGCATATCCACAATATGTCAACAGTTCTTGTAGAGGAAACAAAAATATAAATGGGTAAAACTTCCCTAAAAATGTAGTTGTTTCTAACTACTTGGTACTTGAGAAGAAAACAATGCGAGAATGGAGGTGGGGAGGGGGGCGGGAAGCAAACATTCATGTGTTGGAAATGTGGTTCAAGTCTTCAGATTTAAAAACAAAATTCCCCAGGGAATCTGAGTATCAAGGAAATTTTAGAAAATTTCCTCTGCCCTGCCCTGAAATAGACCTGAAAAGTCCCCATTTAAACTTCTTGCAAACTGTATTTGTAAGATGTTATAGATGATGATCAAAGCAGTCAGAGGGAGAAGGATGAATGTGTCTTCCATTTAGCCAGTTTGTATTATAGCCTCTTTAGATGTTGGTGAATCAGTAAAAACTACTGAAGGTACCAGAAGTGCTGTGAAGAATAGGGGTTAAAAACAACAAAAAAACCTACTGACCATATTTTCTGTTTAAATCAGTAACAGGAATTCATGGCTAGGAAAATTTTCTAAACAGTAAAATGACTTCAGGATAGATCTCTCCATTAAATGTAGCAGGGGAAAAAAAGATTTACACTAGAAGATACAGTGATAATGGAGAACCACAAGGTAGGTTCAACAATATTCTATGAGGCTAGAAAATCAGTTAACTTTGAAAGCCCTAGAAAAATATTACTCGTTTATAAGTCACTTATTTATCATATTCCAACACTGAATCCTTTTCCTTCCACACACTGAAGAATCCTATAGCCAGCTTTTAAGCATTCTGCATTTCCTTGCCAATCTTGTAGCTGAGTATCTTGGTCCAGTCAATTCTGGTGCAGTTAACTGGAAGTTGCTGGTATAAGGCCTTGAATATGGTATGTGGCATTGTTTGATAGTTTTCATTAATTGCTGTGTGATACTCATTTTCTGTACTTTCTATAATTTTAACAAAGTCCTTGGCCGTTTGGACTTCATTAGAAATAGTTTCTGAATCTTGTACATCTTTATGACTAACCTACTGAACATTGCCATCTTCCTAATAGTGAGCTCAAATTTTAAGCTCATCCACTTGGGCTGTAGGTAGTGTGATTTGTGAACTTCTACTCTGATCTCCAACAACCATTCCAGAAGTTTTTAGGTTGAAACTGGTGGCTTTTCATACATGCAATTAAAGTCTGTTGTTCTGTTTTAACATAAACAGTACAGAAGCCATTGGAAAAATGATCTTTCAAATAGGCTCTGTCACAGGATTCTCTCCAAGATTTCAGACCTTCATCTTCTTCCTCTTTCCATAAGTGACAAACTTAAAGGAAATTTTGTTCCTTGTACCTAAAAGTCTATTACCCAGGTGCTCCATTATTAGGACCCGATCTTTATACCCTTCTCTCTTCACAGGTGTGAACTGATCCATGTGATACTAGGCAAATGCATGTGCTGTCCCTTCACTGAGGAGATTGTCATTATTAAGTAATAGCTGAACATCATTCAATACTACATTAAACTCTCCTAGGGGTGCATGGGTGATGAATTTAGCAGGTATGCATACATTCTCCTCATCCGACACCAGATCCTTGAAGTCGGGCCATCTTGGGCTGCCCAGAGAATTTTTATGTACCTCTTTTACTCAAATGTGAGGGACAGTAAAATAATGTCAGCCTGTGTCATTATCCACATCACTGCTAGTACATTTCCCAGGAATAGTGACAAGCCAGATTAAGAGTCACTCTGGCAGATGTCTGACGTCCCAACATGGCAGACAATGGTCACAGATGACTGTCAAACGTAAGAAATGTTGCTATTGTGTCTGTGAAATTCCATTTTTAATATTTGATTTTAGTTAGTTGAACTTTAAGCAGTCATACACAGCTGGTATGGACAGATTTGGACAGAAGCTGTAGATCAAGCCGGAAGGATGAGCCAACACCTGTTGAGGACCTGTGACAGTTCAACAAACCCAGCAGGTGATTATGTGCAAATTACTCTGGCTGAGTTCTTAAATGCTACTCTTCTTAATTTTAGAGATAAAGCAATTGATGATCGAAAAGTCAACTAAAAATAAGGTTGAATCAGAGTGTGGTAAGGCTGTGGAAACTGAGACTAATAGCAGACCTGGGATTTTCAGGTCAAGTCTATTCTATTTTCAAGTTCATGGTTTTTAACATTTGATATTATAGACCTAAGACTTACACTTGACTTCACTTATGCAAACTAATAACTCCTAAAGAACTTTGGTATTGGTATGGAGACAAAGAGGAGAGGAAAAAAACTGGGGAAAAAAATCTAGAACTTTATCTAGCTATCTTTGCATCTAATACATTGACCCAATTCTAAAAAAAAAACAGCAACTATAAAAGATTAGAGAAAAATAGTAAATATATAGCAAAATTTATCATAACATAGAGAAATGGGAAATTTCTCATCTTGTAAACAGAAAAAAATGGATAGGAAACTGCCAACATAAGACTATTTAAAGTGATCTGCTATAAAAATGAGTACAAAATCCAAATCAGAATAGTAGCGTAGAAAAAAAAAGTTCAAACAAAATAAAATTGGAATCACCTCATAAGACCCTATTAAAAACTGCTTCAGAGCTAGGAAGGAGCTGAGTGGTAGAGTGTGTGTACAGAGGCCCTGGATTTAGCACAGGGAAAAAAAAATTCTCCTTTGTATAGGTAAAGCAAGTTATCAATAATGTGACTTATCTCCTTTTCCAGCTCATGTTTCCAGAACTGGGTGAATATTTTCATAATTGTGAACTTCTCATGAATAGGAATTTGGTTTTGATGCTCTGTAATCAGCAGCACCTGGTTCTTAACATGTAGGTACTTTATCAATGAGGGAAAGCAAAAGAAAATGCTTAAAAAGGGAATGGCTTAGTAGTCAGAGTGTTAGCTAGATAGAAGAATACACAGTTACTAAACACAAACCTAATAGTAACAACAGAAACCACACATATTGAAACAACAAAGGCATCAATCATCACATTTCGTACATAACACTGGGTGACATAAACTAAATTTTAGTTCATGTAGTTAAACATCTTTTCAATATGCGAAAAGAGAAAGGGGAAAGAAGATGGCCCGAAGCTGACCTTATTACTCTTGGTAATTAATTTTATTAGTTTTTTTCTTTGACTTAAGAATCAAAAGTACTCTTGTTGTATCAAATGATATACATATACCAATACACATTTTAAGTCATCTCCAATACCCTGGCTTCCTCTTCTGGAAAGATTCCATTTCCTAATTTGTCCTATGAGGCTGAACTTTCTTTGGTTTGTATTCCTTTCCAATACTCTCTTTTATTAACAAAGGATTCCTTCCTTCTTTCCCCCACCCTGACCCCTGTACCCATCAGTTGTTTATTAGGCTTCTCCTTTTTCAATGTACTGCTTTTTCCCTATTTCTTTTGATCACATTTTCAATCTTCCCGCATTCCTCATCAAAAAGCATTGTACTTACTCCCTCAGGAGCCACTGCTTTTCTTTATTTTCAAAAAATAAATAAAATAATAATAAACTGATGTCCTGCAATAGGGCTAGAAGCCAACCCTATTGATTTTAGGAGGTCTGAGTGTTCACTTAAGTCTGCAGCATTTCATTGCCTAGCAACATGGGTACCCAGAGCTTTAGTTACTATAGTGATGGCTTCCTAATGCAAGTGCTCTCTCAGAGAAATGCTCCAGTGCAGTTACCACTTCAAAACAAGGGCTCCCAGGGATTCTCTCCCCATTTCACTCGTTGCCATTTGGAGAGGGGGGAAAAAAAAGGAAGATAAAACAAGGAGAGCACACTTGTCTACTTACTATAAAGGGTTAGAGAATCAATTGCAATTACTTTTATATACAGCATCCAAGAGGAAGCAAGCCCTTTATAATAAGCTCTCTGTGTCTGTGCCTTGAAGCTGCCCCTATACCCTTCCCAGTAGGACCCCTGGACTCTAGCAATGAAACGAGCTGGGAAGAGGTTGCCCCAGGCTTCAAAGGGATACTGGGTGTGGATGACCCTCCATACATCTGAATTGTAAACTTCTTTCCAATGTCACTACAGCAAAATTTAATCGTCTGATGCTTTCTACTAGCCACACATTTCACTGGGCTATCATCTGCGTTGATGGCTGAGAGTTAGCAACAACCCCTTTTGAAGCAATCATCAAGCCACTGGGAAGTAAACAGAAGTGCCTGGACCACAAGAAATAATGAACTGCCCTTTCCATGTTCCCTCTGACCACAGGGACCCCAGCTGTTGTAGCCGATCACTGCTGTCATTTCTGCTAATGCACAGTGTCAGATTAGTTTCTTTGCCTTTCAGCAAGAGGAATCCTTCATTCCTTTGGACTAAAAGACTGAGAGGCCAGTGGAAAAAAAAGTGGGGGTGGGGGAAGGAGGGCGGCTATCTTCCTTGTTCAGCTAAAGGAACACAGGCAGGCAATGAGTAGATCTTCTGAAGGCAAGTATGTTAGGTTTATAGGACAATCCATGCCAGTCCTATTTTATAGGTCAAAAAGTGTCGTTCAGATTATAGCAGACTCCCCTGAAGCAGTTTAACACTGAGTCTAACACTAGAAAGTGAACCACACCTGCCTTAATATTTGGGGAGAAAATAATTACCGTTTTTTCTGCAAGTTCCTTGACATAGGAGAGTACAACAAGCTGGTCACAGAGAGGTGCAAGCCCACTAATGTAGAATTCTGTTTCAAACTGAGACACTGCAAGCAAAGGGAAAGGAGAGTCACAATTAAAAGGAGCAAAAAACACAAGCAACCAGAAATCTACATCAACTGGGCATGCTAGATGGATCCATTTTAAAAGGTGATGGAGAGGTCAATCACTGATTTGACGATCACACCCTGTATACTGGCACTGAATTAACACACTGTACCCCATCAGTGCTGTGCTGTGTCACAATTAAAAGACTGCTAACATCAAGGAGGTGTAGTCACATGCCTACTACATTTCACAGTAATCAATATAGGAAACTCAGGTAAGATATGATCATCTAAACTCAACTTGGCACTCATGACGTAGCAAGGATGAGGAACATCTCAGGCAGATGACAGCACACTGCTTAAATAAAAGAGATGGTTATGGATCTGCTAGGTCCAGGGTCCAAGACAGAAAGTTACACTTTACGTCATAAATATAAAACTACATGGGTGCATCAACTAAACATAGATCAAATACTGAAACACAGCAAGCAAGGGGTTATTATTTTTTAAATAGATGAAGAGAATCACAATCTAAGTTTGATCCCTTTTTCCTAGGAACAGATTGGTGAGCTATCCAAGGCAAGCCTATTCTAGGGATTCTCTAACAATTTGGAGGAGAAATAATAAAAGGCCACCAACCTCAGAATAAGCCAAGCAAAAATATAAGAGCTACTGCTCTCTATCAGTCACTTCTCTGAACCAAAATTAAAATGGTCACAGCATTTCCCTCTTGTATGGCTGTTCAAAGATCAGGTCAACAGGCACTGCACAGGTTAAGGACTCTGGGTTCTAGAGAATTTCTCCTGCAGTCTGGATCTGAATGCCTGGAACAAGGCTCTGTCCTTGTCTAGGTTCCCCTGGCTATGAAGCAGGGTCAGGGAGAGTGAGAATCAGGGAATGCTGGGAAAGAACTGTATGGCCCCAATTATGAGCAGCAGCTTTGAAAAACAGGTGTCCTTGAGCTCAAGTACTGCCTTCCTTGCTTAGCACTTGCAAAGGTTATCTGACCCGCCCTGGACATCAGCTGCTGCACCTGTAGGATGGGAGAGGAGCCCTTACCCACACGGGTATTGTGAAGATCTAATGATACTCTGTAAGATATTTAGCATTGTGCTCAGGGGTGCAAGGAGCAAAATGCACTTGTTACTTCTGATCTAGATTGATCTCTCCTCTTCCATCTTCCCTCCCTCCATCCCTTTCCTTCCTCCTTCCCTCCCTTCCTTTGCCAGTCCTACGGCTCAAACTCTGGGCTTGGGCACTGTCCCTGGGCTCCTTTTTTGCTCAAGGCCAGGGCTCCACCACTTGAGCCACAGTGCCACTTGCAGCTTTTTTTTTTTCTCCCATGACTAACTGGAGATAAGAGTTGCACAAACTTTCTTGCCCAGGCTATCTTAGAACCACCATCCTCAGATCTCAGCCTCCTGAGTAGATGATTATAGGCATAAGCCACTGGTGCCTAGCAAGTTCCAGATTTCTAAACCTACTTTCTATGAAGAAAATTTATAAATCTCATTTCCAACACAAACCATCTAAGGTTCTAGCACCATGTGGCCAAGTTTTATATCCTGCCCAATAGGAGGAAGAATGAAGACTGAACATATATGGAAAATTATTTGCTATAAAATGCTTTACTTTTCTATGTCTAAAATATTTTCATAACTGAAATACTAACCAAGTAATAGATTTTAGAGAGCAAGCTGAACTGTAGCAGCAGAGAAGCTATACATAGTTAGAACCTGAAATAAAATCACCTTGACTGAGGCCAACACCAGATATAGTCCCTTCTGATGGGAGCTTAAGATGGAAATACATGACACTCATGTATTCAACACATAGTGATTGAATGGGGATGAAGGGAGATACTTAGATCTAAGAGAATTTCTCCCGCACCAAGGTTCCATTACCTGATCACTGTATTCCCAGTGTCAGTCAAGAGGCTGAAAACAGTGACTTGATGAATTCTAGATTCTTTGGCTTCTGTGTCCTTCTATATAGATTCCTATGTAGTTACCTCAATTAAAAGACTTAAATTCAAAATGCACTGTATTCTTAAATTGCTTTGTTAAATGGCAATGCCTCAACTACTAACAGATAATAAATACGTTTTAAAAGGTAAAAATCTCCCACATGAAGTGAAAACAAAGAAGTCAATGATTAATTCCTTGCATGTAAGTCATCCATGCTGGGAACTGGGAATGTGACTTAGTGGTAGAATGCCTAGCATGCATGAAGCCCTGGATTCCATTCTTTGGTATCACATAAACAGAAAAAGCTGGAAGTAGCGCTGTGGCTCTAGTGGCAGAGTACTATCCTTGAGCAAAAGAAGCTTAGGAACAGTGCCCAGGCCCTGAGTTCAAGCCCCAGGTCTGGCAAAAAGAAAAAAGAAAAAAAAAAGTCACCTGTGCTGGTGACAGACAACTAGAAAATGACACAAATACTGGCTTCATTACCAACAATGTGACTCCAACTGTAATTCCATAGAGACCCTGAAAGACTGCGATGGAAAGTTCCAGGTTAGGAAGTCTTGAGCAAATTACAAGCTATCCAAGTGAGGTTAAAGGAGATATACAGGTATGGACCTTGAGACCTACTATCACACTAGCAATGTGATCCAGGAGAGAAGAGGTATTATCTAAAACCCAATGTACCTAGACTTTAAATCCCTATGTACAGAGAATCACTTCAGGGTAGGTGACCAGCCAGGAGGCTTATTCTTTATTATCATCATTACTTTTCATTCACCAGTATCAGTATCCAAATGACAGGAATAGCTTTAGTCTTACTCTTGTGATTTGTAAGGAAGAATGAAAACGTCTCTAAGGAATGTACAGCTACACATATTTCTTCAATCTCAATGCTACTTTCAGTTCATTTATTAAAGGACAGTGGCTTACAATGTATAATCCAGACCTCTTACTACTATTCCTTTCCTCCATCCTACTCAAGAACTCTTACCAAAACCTCTGCTGTGAAAATGGTTTACACTGTTAAAAAGATTCCAATTCGGGGCTGGGAAGGTGGCTCAGTGGTAGAGCGCTTGCCTTGCATGCATAAGGCCCTGGGTTCGATTCCCCAGCACCACATAAGCAAAAGAAAAAAAGCCGGAAGTGGCACTGTGGCTCAAGTGGTAGAGCGCTAACCTTGAGCTGAAGAGCTGAGGGACAGCGCCCAGGCCCAGAGTCCAGGCCCCACGACCGGACACGCCCCCCCCCAAAAAAGATTCTGATTGAAGGGGGTAGGAGAGGAATGGTACTTAACCTCTGACCACACTAGTAAAGTGTCAGTAATGTGATACTATTAGTACCCACACATAGTCTCTTTCACATAAATTATAAGTACAAATGGACTCCACTTAGATAACATAATGTAAGGCTCAGGAAGGGCCAAGAGTTTCCGTAGGGTATATAATGAGCAGTCATGATATTGAGATGAATGTCTGCAAGCGGTAATACCTACCAGACTGAGTAAGCACCTCACGGTGCTAAGCACTAAGTGAGGCACATAACTTTGTCATGTCTAATTCTCATCTCCACCTAAAACATGGGAAAATATCAGGAAGGTTAAGTGACCTTATCTAGATACCACAAATCCAGCAAATAACTTTGCTTCCCTGGAAGCATTCTGGTTGTTCTGCAAAGGTGGGGTCATCTGCTTTAACAGTGTGGTAATAATATCATGGTCACCTCCCTCTAGAGAGGAAGAAGATTAGAGCCTGCATGTGAAAGGCATACTGTGAGCCTGAAGCAGAGGAGGCACACAGCACACAGTGCACAGCACACACCAAAAATGTGTGCAGTTAAGTACCAGCTAGAGAGGAGACAATGCAACATTCTTATACTTCACTGGTAATTTTATATTTTTAAAAATCTAGGTGTTTTTTTTTTTAAAAACCGATCTATATTGTAAGTATTACTCTTTGGGATCCTAGGTATTGAGATGTGAAGAGTTCTTTTTTCCCCCCTTGGAAGGCAAGAGAATGACAGGAAAGAAGAGAGATACTGAAACAACGACCTTTGTCTTCTTTATCATCTGATCCCTTGGCCTGTTTTGTCTATACTGATAAATCTGAAATACACAGACACAGACACACAGACATCCCTCTCTAAAGGAAAACATACACACATCATTGAAACGTTTACTAGCTCCTAAAAACCAATATATGTTGGTAGTATGAGCTTACAAGACCTTTTAAAAACTGATGGTTTCCTTCACTTAATATGATTGTTCCAGGTCTTTCCATTTTCTTACAAATGGGGTGATGCCATTCTTTTTGTTGGAAGCATAGAATTCCATTGTGTATATATACTACATTTTCTTTATCCATTCACCTACTGAGGGGCATCTGGGTTGGTTCCATATTTTAGCTATGGTAAATAATTCTGTAATCAATATGGTTGTGCTGGTAGCTTTAGTATGGCCTTGTTTGTGGTCATTTGGGAAATGCCCAAGAGTGTGATTGCTGGGTCATAGGGAAGCTCCATGTTTAGTCTTTTGAGGAACCTCTATACTGCTTTCCAAAGTGGTTGAACAAGTTTACACTCCCACCAACAGCGTAGTAGGTTCCCTTTTGGCCACACCCCCTGCAGCATCTGTTGTTATTAGATTTCTTGATAATGGCCATTCTAACTGGGGTGAGGTAGAATCTCAATGTTGTTTTGATTTGCATTTCTTTTATGGCCAGAGAGGTTGAGTATTTCTTTATGTGTCTATTGGCCTTTTTTTTTTTTTTATTGTGAAAATACTGTACAGAGGGCTATTGGCCATTCTTATTTCCTCTTCAGAGAAGCCTCACTTTAAGCCCACTTGTTAATGGGGTGGTTTGTTTTTTTTTAGGATTTGTTTTTGGGGATTTAATTTTTGAGTTCTAAGTATATTTTAGATATGAGGCCCTTGTCTGTTATATGGCTAGTGAGGATCTTCTCCCAATCTGTGGCCTTTCTATTTATCTTGCTAGCTATGTCCTTTGCCATGCAGAAGCCAGAAAATAATCATATAAAGTGAAAAGTAAGTCAGACACAAAGAAACATAGGCTCCATGCTTGCCCTCATTTGTAATAATTAGTACATATCTAGGATAGTCCTAGCAGAGACTCACAATAGCTCAATAACTATGTACATATGACCATTTAAGATGATGCTAAGCGAAATGAACTCCAAGATATGGAAATGAGGTTTTTCTTTGTTGTTGTTTTTAATGTACTATGGAAAGTTATTTCTTTTTTTTTAAATCTTTTTCCTTTGGTTTATCCCCTGTTGTCACTATATTTGATTTTGGTACCCTGTGTCTTGTATATATGTTTATTTGAGAAAGGGAAGGGGAACAACAAAATGGTGACACGAAGGACCAAGGGTAAACCAATGCAACAGTGATACTCACAAGACAAGATGCTGGAAAGTGGGAGAAAAACAAGGGAGGGAGTAACAATTTTTGACAAGAAATGTACTCATTACCTTATGTATGCAACTGTAACCCCTCTGTACATCACTTTGACAATAAAATTAAATTATAAAGAAAAAAGAAAAAAATGAGAACTGATTTCAACTACTTTATGAGGATGAGCTACCTAAAAGTTGAATTAAAAAGGGCTTCTTTAAATAATTAAGATTTTCACTAGAGAATTTCAGAAGGAACCTGTACACCATGTGCCAAAAATATTATAAAGGAATGTATGAGAGATTTCAATAAAGTGACTATTATTCATGGAAAAACCCTGATGGTTTCACTTAATGGTACTGTATTTGCAATATAAAATGTTTTTTAAATATGATTTGGTAGAGGAAATTAATGTGATCAAAATACAGAATAATACGTATACATGGAACTATCACAATGAACCTCCTTTGTACAATACACACCTACAAAAATTATTATTTTTTTTTGGGGGGGGGGGGAGTCTGGTTGTGGGGCCTGAACTCTGGGACTGGGCACTGTCCCTCAGCTCTTCAGCTCAAGGCTAGCGCTCTACCACTTGAACCACAGTGCCACTTCCGGCTTTTTTCTTTTGCTTATGTGGTGCTGGGGAATCGAACCCAG